TGTTAGGCGATATCTTCATCAATTGTGGAACGTTTTTAGTTCTTTGAAGTCGATTTCTACTTTTTTAACCTATTTATTTTTGTTGCGACGGTTAATAATGTTCTCCCTTTAATTTATCCCTGTTGGTTGGCACCATCACATATAAATTGTATATTTTTCACATTCGAGTAGCTTCGAGTTCCGGCTCAGAAATGCAACTTCAAAAAATCTTGTATTTATCTTAAAAATAAAACAAACTTTCTTTTCATTAAAATTGTAATACCTACAATATATTATACTCTTCTTCCAGAGATCATTCGTTTGACTTGCTTTGTACAGATACATACACGGGCGATTAAAAGGTGTCGGTCACTAAAATCTTAATATCTCGGAAGATGTGAATGCTTAATGAACTGAGCACGATGTAGTAGAAACTGTTTAAAAGCTTCCTTAAAAGTATTTTTATAAAAATAATTAATTAGTTTTGTAATATTTATTTTTATAATAGGAGTACAGGTAGCTGATTCATAATTTTTATACGATTGTTTGTTGGTTTATATTACGTCTGCCTGCATTCGATAATCGGCATTGCTGTATACCAGCTTTCGAACGCAATCATTTGTGAATATTCTTCTACATTTCTCTCAGCGCATATTTTACATTAGAGAGAATATGATTAGAGAGGGATATCCTCGTCTCAACTTGTTCCATATGTGCTCGATAGGTCGAAGTCGGGGTTGCGCGCTGTAACCATTTGAAGAATTCATAAAGTATTCTAGCTGTGTATGTTCTAGCTAAACACTATTTCCAATACAAACTGACCAGTGACCATACTATTAGGAACCATTGCAGCATATTAAAAGTCTACTGCTAAACATAGGCCTTCCTCATAGATTGCCTCATAGATGTTATATTTGTCAGAGTTGCCACCTTTGATAAACTGGTTGGCAACTGCAGTTTTTTTTATTCAATTACTATCAGGAAGATGCTGCTGCCTATCTTCTGGTTCAGTTATATGTATAGGATATGCTTACACCGTCAATGCACGGTTGAAACAATCATAACAGAACCTCAATAATAATTTATTCTACGTATATATATTTGAGTAATAAAAGTGCCATTCCCCAAAAGAATTAAGTCAATACCTCTTTTGGCAGATGGTCGGGTTGGCCCACAAGCCACAAGTATTGCGAAGACTGCCGTACGGAACCTTTTCTTCTTAAAAGCTGTTGTCGCTCCTCTTGATGTAAAAGAACTTTAAAAACTAGAGCAGAAGTCGTTGGTTCGAGTCCATTATTCGATTACTAGCATAATTAACACCTAGCAGCAAACTTTGAAACTTAGTTGAAATGCTTAACTGCGGTAATAGTAGTATTTTTGTAGAATCAGGGTGACAAGCTAGCACACAGTTCACCTTATGGTATGTGGATGCTGGGTCTAAAGATTGCATTATTAATAGATTGAGTTCTTTTAAAACAAAAAAATAAAGCAAATGCCCATGAATTGCTGTGCTAAATTGTGACTCGCTTAGCAAAATCATGAATTTATATGATAAATTAATAAATCAGAAAATAGATATACTTATTATTATTTTTTTTTATGTTTTCTAATGAATATGCAGATTTTTTTTTAATAATAGTAAATTATTTTAAAAAATTAACTCCACTGTAATAGTTATTACTAGGTAGGCAACTAAATTACGTTCGTCAAAATACGCTTTAAGCAAACGCAAAATTTTATGATTTTGTGTGATTTTTAAGCAAATATTATAAATTTAAAAATACAGACTGGAAAGGGTGTTTATCAAACCTTTCTTCCGGATTAACTTTTTTTATTTTAGTGTTGTCAGATAGGTAATGTACTGTATAAATAAAGTTTCATTTTGTTAAAATTAATATAATTATTGGAATAATTACATTTAATGAAATCTGGCCGTGGTGGCGTGAGAGAATCTGTCAACCCTTTTCGTGCCCTCGGTGTTGTAAGGGAAAAATATGGGAAGGCCAGAAAGACGTCATCACCTCCGATAAAAGGCGTTAATACTATATGCCATAAGTTCGGAACCTCTACTGCGACCGTCAATTCGTCCGTCAAAAATTATCAGAGAGTATCCTTCCAAGGTAAAAGACGGCTAAAAACAGAAAGGAAAGTTCTAATTGTTACTTATTATAGTCTTGATAAAATTATTTTGAAGAGAAGTAAATTATGTTATGGTATAAAATAAAGGATACCAGTTTTTTCACAATGTTTACGCACAGTTCCGGTTAGTTTATTACGCCTTCCTTATCGTCCCACTTTACTATGCAACCTTACCCGCCGAGTATGTTTACGTAGATATTTGGATATGAAAGAAGCGAGAGAGGTGGAAGACAGGCGTGAGAGCTTTTGTATTCTCTACCACGTTTTATGGTTGTTAGTATTGTCATTACAAGTTTTGATTTGTTCTTACCTCATCTGCCTACTCAATATATTAGCGTAGTTTAAGGTGTACTTACTTTGTGAATTTATATACACCTGTCCAAATTGATAAAAAAATATACCCTCCCGAACCCAAATGTTTATTCGATTTCTATTTTCATCGCAGTGAATAGTGGAAACTTTGCAAGGAACGTTTTCTTTCCGTTGAATAAACAAAATTACGTAAAGTTAATTCAAGGCCCTGTTGCAAAATCGGTATTAAATCGATGGATCGGCAGGTAATAGCAATAAACGCAGCGGCACGAACAGCAGCTGCATGCACAATGTTTCAGTATGTTTACACAGTAGTCGCGCGCACTCTGCTCGCTGGATCGTCGCCAAGTAATCTCCTCTCAACAGGTAAATGGAGCCCGGGTGATCTCGATGACATCACAGTCATATAACGTTTTCTCATGCCGTGATTCACCTCATTCAGAATAACTTTTACCAAAAATATCAATTGAATATCTACCATTGTTTTATTTTTATAGAAAATCGCGAATATAAAGCCTGAGCTCAGAGGTAGGAAAACGACGCAAAACGTTTGATCCCCCCCGGAACATAAATTTCATTAGGGACCGCCGAAAAAAAAACCGAAACTTTAATCGCGCCATTCTACTACTAGCTGCTGTCCGTCCTATTGACTTTTTGCACTATTTATAAAAATAAGTAGTCTTAATAATTGATCACAAACCTTTTGTCCTTGAAAAAGAAATATGGATGGTCAAGTACAAACGTAAATACGCGCGGTTTTAATATTACACTAATCGTGACAAATCGGTTGACTTCGCGAGTATCATTAGGTGATTACGTATGAATATTACCTAATTGTAGACATCAGTCCATAATGATGTTAATACAAGAAAAAATCTTATGTAATATAATTCATTACTTAATTTTTATTTTGCCTTTAACACTATAAATGTGGTGCTAATGGATTCTGTGTATAATTTAATTAAATGATAAAACCTTTACTAAACCGTTAAAAATGATAAACCAGAACTTAATATTTTTTTCATCCAAACATATGTAATTTATGTAAATTTATTGACATAAAAAAATCTAAAATATTTATTATAATTATATAACAATCAAAACGTAAATTATCATACAATCCTACTCTTTTCTTTTTTTCGTTTACCTTTTGAGAAGTGACAAATGCGAGTGGCAAGTGCAACTGACAAATGACGAGTGCTTAGTGCGTGTGAACAGGCAGTGATAAGTGATAAGTGGGAATAAAATACGTACTTGTCATTCCTCACTTGCCACTCGCACGTATCACTTCTCAAAATGTAAACCGGGCCTTTGACAAGAAAAGCACCAGCGCTATTGTTACCAGCGGCGACGACAATTCGCGGATACAGTGCCTTTAGTAATTACACCGCACGTGAAACCCAGGGACCAACAGTCTATAACAAATTGCACTAATATGCATCCTTCTCTGAGACTCAAATTGACGCCATTTCAGCCGCCTTTAATGGCACCTCGGCTCTGAATGAGGTACCCCTGAGATATATGGTCATCAGTGCCTATGCACCTAGAATTCCATGCAAGGGCTTTGCCTTTTTCTCAAAAGACCACAGTCATACTCCCTAGGAAAACACTCTGAAACCGACTGATAATATTTAGAGAGAAGAGACCTTCTGATAACGTCGTTTAGATTTTTTCTTACATGAAAGCCCATAGTCGACAACGCCGCGCGTATGAGGTTGAGAGACCGCCGGTTCTAGTCTGATTCCTACGTATATGCGCAAGCTTTCTCAGTCAAGCAATTGCCTAGTTTACTTGATGGAAAAAGGTGTAAACTAGTTAATACTGCTAGATTCCTAAAGCCAGTCACAGACTACGCAGATACGATTGTATACGAAATGATACATTCACTGGAAATCCTTCAAACTTACTTAGATTTGGCCTATTGGTGAACTTCACATGGCTTCGAAATATATTTCTTAGACATGCCAGTTTCCTCACTATGTTTTCCTACACCGCACATCACGCGTTAAATTAGCACTAAAAATAAACCAAAATATTAAAACTTAAATAAAAAAAATACTCATGTCTATACTGGTGGTGACAAAGTAAGGTAATAGGGTGGAATAACCAAATAATCAAGTACGTGCTAAAAAGGTGGGCCCTTGGGAAAAAAAGTTATAAATACAGTAAGGAGGAAAAAACAGGGGTAAGATTTATAATTTCAAAAAGAAAGAACAATTATTATCTTCAAACATTAAAAGGTTAATCCGTCCGGCTATCGTGCCGGTAGCAGCAGCATATGCGTATGACAGCAACGTGGTCTGTTATTAACTTTTTTAACGATTGTGTTAATTAGCGCGCTTTTGCCCTCGAGCATCGTGTTGTGGAATAAAAACCGCAAAACGATATGTTCTTCTATTAATTAACAGAAAATTTACATCTTCAGCATTATAGCTCTATATCTATTGGTATTGCTTCTAAGTTTGCGGTTAACGTTTCCAAAATTATTGTTAAAGTTCATATCGAACTGCTTTAGATAGGAACATAATTAATATATTAGATAAGTAATGAATAAGATAGCTAAATATTAGATGTTAATGTCATTTTTGTTGTTGCAGCAGTTGTTCCGGTCGCAACAAGCTGCGGCGGCCGGCGGGCAGGCGGCGGCGGCGCAGCTGCAACTGCTGCAGCAACAGCAACAACAGCAGTTTCAACTGCAGCAGCAGCTGGCTGCGCAGCAGGCTTTTACGCAAACCCCCTATGTGATAAACGCCGGGCAAGAGGGCGCGCCATACGTGAGCGCGCTGATAGCGGGCGTGCCGCCGTACTACGGCGTGGCGGCCCCATGGGGCGTGTACCCCGGGCTGGTGGCGCAGCCCGCGCAGCAGCAGGCGCAACAGCCGCGCCGGCCACTCACTCCTCAACAGGGCGAGCAGCAGGTGAACGGGCAGGGCCAGTACGTGATCCCGTACTACGACCCCGGCTCGCTGGTGATGGGCGGGCGCAACGGCACGCCGCTGAGGCTAGTGTCGCCGGGCGGCGTGCTGGCGCCGCGCCAGTACCCCGCCGCACACGCCGCCACGCCCGCGCCGCCCGCACCCGCACAAGCGCAGCCGCAGCAGCCGCAGCAAGGTGTGTAATACGACACCCTCACTCATACTTACTGCACCACGCACGAATTAATGCTTCCAAGACAATATTATCCAGGTTATTATAATCGTAACCCAAATGTCATTATATTTTCAAGCCAACGTTATACGAAATAGTAGATAAAGGAACTGAAATTATTAATTCTATATTACAGGAATAAATCGTTTAATTATTCATAATTGTTAATCGAAGACGCCACGGTAGTTATAATTGCATTGTTGTTTTAGTTGAATTTGTAATAAGTTAAAATAAATACATGCTTACATAACATGCGTTGACAAATCTACAACGAGATATTGTCCAAAACGTAAACTAACTACAAAAAATTACTCACATATTATGCTATTTAAACTTAATATATCACGCTTATCATTTTACATTGATACCAAACTTAATTTATGTTAAAAATTCAAAAATTGATAGGATTGTAAATTTGAACGTGTAATTTATACTTACTCCACGTTTCTTCTAACACTACATTCGTCATTTATCCAATTAAGCGCCTTTGTTTCTTAGGTTCCCTTAATTCAATTTCTAAATGGGAATTACAATATTGTAACATTGTATTATATGACAATGCGTCATACTTATTTTCATCTGTGTTTAGCGCCACTGTACTAACAACATTGTAGCAACCATATATGTATTTAAATTGATAACCATAATTTATTGCTCATATATATGATACGAAAGAACACCATCCTCAATTCCAACGCCGATCTGTTTAATCACAAAAACGATATTCTAGAATATTAAAAACTTTATTGACTTAAAACACTTAATTATCGTGGTTTTCTTAACAAAATTTTATATATTTTACTTAAACTTACACAAATCACGTAATAGGTGTATGTACATATTATAAAATTATAAAATAAAATAATGTTTTAATGGGAAAAACAATTACCAACAATTTAACTTTCCCCACAAATTTGTTTAAAAACTATTCCATGCCTCTCCTTAAAATTAGTGAGCCGAAACTCACTCTCACTTGCCGAAAAATTTGAATACTAATTCGCTGACAAATTATTTGACGGTCTCTTCTAATAAAAGGCTACCGACGGGAATGTTCTGCCCCCTGCATTGCATTACATTCCTTAAGACGAGGGAAGTCACCTTGCTATACCACTTTCTTGATCCGCTCGTCTCACCGAGGACCTTCTCCTTGTTCTTCAGGATTTTGAAAAATGAGCCGAGCGGGATATTGAAATTTTTGCTACATCTGTCTTCTTATCGCACCTGCCAACGGCTTCTATCGCTCGAATCTTCACAGCGATCGTTAAACACTTGTATTTCTTTCGGTTGGACATGACAGCGCGTACAGGGCTAGAAAAGACACTGAGGGAGGAAAAGCTTCCGATCAGAACATGCTCTAGCATGTCAATCCGGGAACTAAAGTTCGAATTGCCTAGAGGTGGGGGGAGAGGTGCTTCGAGTTACCGCGTGTCCGGAACTTGTTTGTTAATAATAAAATACTTATTATGTAAATAAATACTGATTGTACTAATTTGTATTTTGTCTTCGAAATACCGCGAAATAGCGAGGAATTTCAATATGCTTCGAATTACTGAGAGTTTCGAATAATTGGTAGTCCACTGTATATTTTGTGAAGATTTGGGACACATTCTGCCCTTAGCTCAAGGACATAAATAGCAGCGTGTATTTGAAGCTGATTAAGTTTAAACAAGCTTGATACTTTTGTCTTCTACTTCCAAATCATTTTCAACCAGAGTATTATGCTAATATCATCTGAGAGGTATTCAGGCAAATTTTTGGATAAAGGGACATCATTATCATCTGCCAGTTTAGATGCAACGTCCAAAATATCACCCTTGTCTGAGTGCTCGGATATATTATGTTCAGTGTAATGGTGGTTAATGTAGCGCTTAGCGCCATATTATAGCGCGCTATCTCTCCATAACACATAGCGCGTGCTGTGTAAGTAGTCGCCATGGCGCTATTGCGCTATGTCGCTTTGGCACTATTAAGTATTAATATCTATCGGCAACTAGTTCTAGCAGCAGCGCTGTTGGAAGAGGACCGTGTGACGCAAATTTGATCTAGTAGCACGCAATTCATCGCGCGCGGACCTAATTTAGTATTAGACGTTGTTGTTTAGTTAGTGTATACTGTATATTTATAAGTGATCAAAGGACAAAGTTGTCCGCTATAAAAGAAGCCTAACTAATGTTTTTAAATGTAAATAAAATATATATACAAAAGTGTATATAATAGTGTATATAAATTGTTGATTTTTATTAATAAAATCAATAAACTTTTAAATACACCTTTATTTTATTTATAATTTATATTAAAGTTAAAATAACGTTTACATCAATTATTATTTCGTTTTAAAAAGTACATCCCTTAAAAATATTTTCAGGATTATAGAAAGTCGTAAGCCTGAAAATTATAAAAAGGCGTTCATTGGTTTTTCTTTCCCGCTTTATTTTATTTTAGTCTAAAATGTGACTTCTTACGAAATAATGTTCTTATATAGCACGCGGTCTATCCAATGAGCAACATATAATGTAACGTGCTACGAAATATAGCATGCTGCAAAACTTAACGCGTTTGCCGGCCTCCTATACGCTTTCTTATAAATAGCGCGCTATAACATAGCGTATTTAATAGCGCGCTAGAAATTTATAGTTTATTATCTGTAGCGTGCTATTGATTTATAGTAGCTTTGAACAACTTTATGTCTGCAATATCTGACGCTTAGTCGTCCGAAAAACGGGATTGGACACTACCATATTCTCCAAAATGTTTACTGTTTCGTTACTTTTTGGAAGACGTGAAGTTGATGCCGTAGTGTAAGCGGTACCTACTCGAAAAATAAATGTAAAAATTAAAGAATATTAGATAATAATGTTTTCATTAATCACAACACGGGTCATGGGTGACCTCAAGAGGCGATTACTAGAAAACTAATGAATGTGTGCACTTCGCAAAGCATCACGGGCTAGAGACATTTAATTACGGAAGGTAACCTGTATGTGTATGGTATATGTGTGTAACCTACGTGGTACTTACATGCACATAATTCAAGGTCAATTGCTCAATAAAACTGATTTAAAAAATAAATATGTGGGGTAACCCACAACCCTAGAAGAAGCATTTGCACTCTATGCTAATTGTCCGCGGATACTTGAGAGAATATTTATAATTTTTAAATTATGTTTATAGTACACGGTGACTTAAAACCATGTTTAAGTCATGCGTAAAATTTACATTATGTAATTTTCAAAAAATTAAAACATTTATTGAAACAATAATAAATACAGAACAATAGGACTTTAGGGTCACTCGGGGCTATTTTAGCTCCTAGAAATCTAATACGAAGTTTAACTTCAATTTTTTACTATCAATAATAAACCAGCAAATTTGATGAATTCTTTTGGTTAGGTTTATATAATCATGTACACGAGTTCAGACCTATGTATGCAAAGTCAATAATTAATGCTAAATTCCAATCGTCGACGACCGAGTTCTTTCTGATCGGCTCGATTCACTGTTGTTGCGTAGGGATGTGTCATCCATATGCGTTTTCTATCGTATCTACCATGGGGAGTGATCTGAGGAATTATTCGGATAAGTTCCAGCGGCCAAATTTCACGAACACACATCGCGTCAAAATTCACGATACCATCCTCACCACCTGGATGCTTGGGGGTCCACCACTGCGCGTTTTACCAGGAGTTTTCTTCCTCGTACAACCTCTGTGGAATTGTTTTCCACCGTCGACTTTTCCGGACCGATACGACTTGGGACCTTCAAGAAAAGAGCTTACTCATTTCTAAAAGCCAGCTACGCACCTGCAATTCCTTTGGTGTTGCGGTTGTTCATGCGCGGCGGTAGTCACTTCAAATCAAGTGAGCCGCATGCCCGTTTGTCCGCTATAAATATATATAATCAAATTTTAAGTATTTAAGGTTTAAATCACCATACCTTTCAACATCTAAGGGAAATATTGCTATGCCCTTTCTTTATTTATTTTTATCGCTTCTAACACTTATAGCTTATTTGATTATTCAACAATTCTATAAAAGGACGACTTCTCTAGCACAATTAAAAGGAATTTAAATAAATACAAATGGAATCGTTTGATTAGACGATGTCATTGATATACATGTTAACGAAAAGTAGAAAGAAGAGATTATCGCCATTAAAATTTGCTTCTATTTCGTAAATATAATTTTTACTATGAAAGTTGCGTCAGCCTGCATTTAAATCATTTGATAAATAAAAAATGCTTGACATGAAATAATTTCAATATTTTGTAAATTTTTAGCTTGAACTGTATTTTTAAAGTACAATAGAACACAATTATCGTTACTACTCTTTACAATTGCTAAAAAATAAGACTATTGTGAATTCAGCTTTGATAAATCATATATGTATAAGCTGATATCCAGATCATACAAAACCTCTGTAAATCGAGCACCTTTGGTCCCGTTTGATTAAATCTTTCGACACGATTTTTGTCGGTATAATCATTTACTATTCTACAATTTTTCAATTAAAAATTTGATTTAAGTCACTTGCACTATAAATCTATAAAATAATGTACGATACACGGAACTTAAGTCTCCGATAATTAAAACGTTTAAACGTCACAGACATGGTTCAGTAATCAGCTACTTAAGTGTCTTGTATCATAAGGTACTATTTCGTGAATATTTAACCCTAAAATTCTTATTCCGAAAACAATTTTGTCAGAATAATTTTCTTATCTGTTACTTACATATTCGTAATTGAGAATAGAAATGATAACCTTTATGCAAAAAGGCGCCGTTTAATTTGAAAAGATATTTAAACGTCTTTTATACATCATTCATTACAGGTTTGGAGCTTATGACCTTATTGTAATATGAGTGTTCTTAAAACGTATCTAGGAAATCCAATTTTAAAGTTTGTGACTATACATTTGTGTAATAAATAATAAGTCTTTAATAGCGAGTAATCATATGTTAATCGGCTCTGTAATATTATTTAATAATGTGCGTTCACCAATATGGAACTATATCTTAGCTCAATTTTTAATTTTTTTTTACATCACGCTGTTTAATTTTTATTATACATAGAGCTTATATATTTATATTCTATATTTATAAAGAGCTGAATGTAGAGAAGCTTTTTTCTTATATTTTATTAAATATTATTTCAATAGGGATATAACCAGTATAGAGAAGTTTTACATAGGCACATGAATTGCAATTGGACAAACATCTATAGCAATAGCGAGATTGGTTAACTCTAATGGGAATCGTTGGATGGTGGGAATCACTCCGAAATATGTTATGTATTTTCAATATGATAATATTTTAAAACCTAAAATGAGATAAATATGAAAAGCCTTGTAATCGATACTGATACAGTTACACATTACAATGAAATCACGATTAAATCTTCAAAACGAAGCCTTATAACCATGATCACACTGCAGAGCTGGTACAATTAGCTATACAAGTCATTTTTCCGTGCTGAACACGCAATTCTCAGGACCGCAGATGTGCAACAACGTAAAGAGTATAAAAATGTGTCATGTTTGTTTATGATAAAAAAGACAATCACCAAACAATTAAATGCGTATATAGAGGTATAATAAACTTCAATCGAGTCTTCTTTCACCTTTTTGCCTAGTAACTTTTCTATTGTCCTTGAATCATTAGTTTGTATATATGTATATGAATTCATAGTAGATACAATATAGTTTATAATTCGTATTTTATAACTATTCAACATTACTTGACCTTATGTAACGGATCAAGTTTTGTATCGTTTCGATTAGAGGTTGCAAAATCCGGTTTTTTTTTTAATCCGAATTTTTGAATTTTCCTATGATTAAATGTGGATAATCCGGATTTTTCGAAGTTTTGGGGTGATTTGATAAAACTGAAATAAAACAGCATAAATCATTTAAAATCTGACACGACGGAATAACTCAACCAAAATAAACAAAAACCGTGTAGTGGCGGTTAAGAATATCCACTACCCCATATCTTCCCGTGGGTGTCGTAAAAGGCCACAGAGGGAAGCAGGCAGAAGATGGGCAGCAGCATCTTCCTGATAAATGTAACAAGAAACTGCAGTTACCAACCCGCTCGCCAAGCGTGGCAATTATGGCAATATACGGGAGGTATATTGCCATGAGCAACGACGCAAATAGACGGCCCCCAGACCATGGTAACGGCAGGGCAGGGGGTGCTAAGAATCTCCAGTGGAGGTTCAGTTGCCACCCAAAACGACTCGACCTGACAAATTACAACGCACGCACCTGAGGACTGACGAGAAGATCCTGGAGCTGGAAGAAGAGATAGACAAATTGTGTTGGAATATTATAAGATTATCCGAGGTCCGAAGAGATGACACGGTGATTCTCGAATCCGGCATCTCGTTCTATCACCGAGAGGATGACCATCTGTCCCAAGGAGGTGTTGGATTTATCGTCCACAAGTCTCCCGTTAACAACTTTATAAAGATTGGGAGTGTGGCGACGAGGGGTGCGTACTTTATACTCAGAATCACCAAACGGTATAACCTGTATGACCTTCAGCGAGGTCATACAGGTTTACGCAGCAACGTCGGCACATCCCGATGAGGAGGTGGAGGAAATGCATGAGGATATTTCTAAAACCATGCATTCCTTCAAAACCCAGTATACGGTGTTAATGGGAGACTTCAACGCAAAGCTAGGCACAAGAAAAATTGGTGAGCTGAAGGTAGGGAAATTTGGGATAAGGCAACGGAACCCAAGGGGCCAGCACCTGGCCGACTTCATGGAGAAAGAGGGATTCTTTATGATGAACTCTTTTCTTTCAGAAGCGGCCCCACAGAAAGTGGACCTGGTCGAATCCCGACGGTTCGACAAAAAATGACATTGATTTCATTATGACGACTAGTTCAGTAATGTCTCAGTGATCGCAAGGGTGAAAACCGGCAGCGATCACCGAATGGTTAGAGGCATACTGAACCTAAACGTTAAGTTGGAGAGGTCTCGTCTAATGAAGTCAACCCTCAGTCCCCTCGTGCTCTAATCCAAAGTCCCGAAAAGTTTCAGCTGGAGTTACAAAACCGTTTTCAGTGCTGAGAAGATTGCAATGCAGTGGACAATATGAATGACAAGCTCGTGGAAACTGTCTATGCAGTCGGAGCTAATTTCTGCAAGACCCGCCGCAAAAGAACACAAAAACTCTCCGATCACTCTCTTAATCTCAAGGATGTTAGACAGGAGATGAAACTGTCGTCAGCAGATTTGACAGCATACAGGCAACTTAACAGACAGGCGGGGCTTACGCAACTTCAATACAGCTCGTATTGAAGAAGCGATCGAGCGGAAAAAGGGCACCGGTCTTTGCCAGAGGTCTGTCTGTCAGAAAGAGCCAACTGTCAAGGCTGAGGACTGAGTGTGGCAGCATCGTTTCCGGGACATCTAGATTTTGAGTGAGATTGAGAGGTTCTATGGGCAACCGTACACATTATCGTTGGAGCCACACGCAAGTGTGAGTAACGATCCAATAGCAAGTCTTATCCGACACTATTCCGATGATATCCCGGACGTGAGTCTGAGCGAGATTAGAATGGCTCTCCAGCACCTTAAAAACGGCAAGTACCAGGCAAGATTGGAATTACAGCGGAGCATCTGAAAGCGGATGGAAAACCGGTACTTGAAGTCCTTCAGAAGCTCTTTAATTCCGTCCGCCATGGTAGCACTACGAAGGTGTGGAGCAGAAGCACGGTGGTCTTGTTCTTCAAGAGAGGTGACAACGCTCTCTTGAAGAACTACAGACCAATTTCCCTTCTGAGCCGCGTCTACGTGCCGTTTTCGAGAGTCATTACAAATCGTCTCGCACGCAGACTCGACGACTTCTAGCCTCCCGAGCAAGCCGGTTTCCGAAAAGGAAAGTACCATAGACCACATACATATCCTACGGCAGATTGTACAGAAGGCCGAAGAGTACAATCTGCCGCTTTGCCTGGCGTATGTGAACTATGAGAAAGCCTTTGATTCCGTCGAAACTTGGGCGGTGCTACAGTCCTTTCAGCGGTGCCAAGTAGACTGTCGGTATATCGAAGTGCTGAGTGTTTGTACAGTAGGGCTACGATGGCTATCCGAGTACAGAACCAGAGTTCGAAACCTATCTAACTGCAGAGAGGTGTAAGACAGGGTGACGTTATATCACCGAAACTCTTCACCGCTGTATGGAAGAGTTTTTCAAGCTACTGGACTGTAAATGATACGGTATTAACATCTATGGCAAGTACATCACTCACCTTCGATTTCCTGACGATATAGTCCTTATGGCAGAATCGCTGGAGGACCTAAGCACTATGCTCAATGAATTCAATAGTGTCTCCCAACAGATAGGTCTTAAGTTGAACATGGACAAAACAAAGATCCTGTGTAATGTCCATGTCACACCTATGCCGGTAGTTGTTGGGATCACTAAGCTCAAAGTTGTTGACGAGTGAGTTTACCTGGCACAAATAGTCCGACCAGTTAAGTCCAACTTTGACCGAGAGATTAATCGACGGATTCGATTCGACTAGGCAGCGTTCGGGAAATTACAACACATCTTCTCGTCAGGTATACCTCAAAACCTAAAAACCTAAAAACGAGACTGTACAACCAGTGCGTGTTGTCAGTGGTTACTTATGGATCTGAAACGTGGTCCTTCACTGCTGGCCGTATAAGGACTCTCAAGGTCGCTCAGCGAGCTATGGAAAGGGCTATGCTCGGGGTTTCTTTGCGTAATAAACTTAGAAATGAGGATATCCGCAGTAAAATCAGAGCGACGGACATAGCCCAACGGATTAGTAAGTTGAAGTGGCAATGGACCGGCCATATAGCTCGAAGAACCGACAACCGATGGTGAAAAATGGTTCTCAAGTGGCAGCTTCGTACTGGTAGGCGTAGTGTATGGTGGTAGGTAGCACCTACCTATTCATTAGTAAGAATGAAAATTTGTGGATAAATGTAAAATATCCATTAAACTCAATTTTCACTAAAATCCGAAAAAACCGGATTTGAATCTTAAAAACCGGATTTATAAAACTCTGGAAAATCCGGATTTTTCAGTTATTTTCGAATTTCGAAGAATCCGGATTGCAATCACTAGTTTCGATATATACTTACTTGTATAAGTATACAAGTTTTGTTTTGGTGAGTTACTCAACCTAAATGTACATACATATGTTTATGCTCGAATATTTTATCGTCTTAACCACCTTACGCTCTGGAATCTCAAACAGTACCTCTTTACCTTTATTCCACATATTTGTAGTGTAGTAATTTTAACATATAATGTTTATAGTAACTATGTACTTTGTAAATAAGTTGTATAATACCTAATAGCTGACCAAGCCAAGGTAGACTACTTTAAAATGTGAATCTATCAATGTTGTGTCATACATACTACTATATAAATGTATTTGTCTACCATATGCGCACGATAAGAATAGGATCACGTTAACTGTTTGTTTATATTTTATTAAATAAATATGAATTATTTTTTTAATATAATACAAATTCGTGAAAGGAAAGATAGTCCATTACGAAACGATTTTGGAAGAAATTTAGAAAAATCTCATAAAATGAATAATAATTTAAAAAATATATTTATGAAATAGTATTTGCTTTGAATGCTGTATTGTATGTATGTATGTGTATATATATATATATATATATATATATATATATATAGTATGCGAGCATAACAGTCATAAATTAAAAGAGGCCTGTGTCGATGTATTTATACTATAACTGTAAATATGTTTTTCTTTGGTATAGGCACAGTAATGCACTGGAAACATAGTCCTATTGTAACAGTGCGTGCATATAGGTTATGACGCTGGTATCGCGTAGTGGTAGACACGCGTGGCGTGTATGGTACCGCGCGTTGCAGTAGACGGTAGTGGTAGATAGCATGTGAGCAGGGCGCGGTGCGTTGCGGTTGCAGGCGGTGCGGTGGGAGCGGTGGGTACGGTGGGCGCGCGGCGCGACTCGCTGGAGTTCGGCGGCGGCGGTCCGGCGGCCGCGCTGCAGGAGTACGCGCGCAAGTGGGGGCCCTCACCGCTGTCCCCGCCGCTCGCGCTCGGCCCCGTCGGCCTGCGCCCCGTGTCCGCCGCGCCCGGCGCCGAGACCGCCAAGTACAGGTACACCTGCACCGCACCACACCACACAACACTTTGTTTACACATTGTTTTTTATTACTAGAGTATGCTTTCGATGAGTCCTAAATTACATAATATATCCAATAACAATGAAAGTAGGTCATCATTCATCAACATTACAGCCATGCGTGCGGGATTTAGTCCTTAGATTTAGACATCATACTTCTTACCATATAATCGAATCCTATCACCGCCATGTCCCTATGTTTTATTTTAATTATTATAAGTTACTGTAATTAACCCGTTATACTGCCATTATCACACATCTCACGAACAAATATGTCGAATATAAATAAAATAAATAAAAACGTACCGACATAACCAAAGTCCTCCTTATACTATTTTAAAAAATCGCTCCAGCTTTAGAGGAAAAAGGCAGATAATACGCGATGTTGATTTCGTCGTTTTTACATGGTTGTTTTGGTTGTTTTTGTTACATAGTCATTTGCAGTTGTAATTCTCACGCTCAATAGAGGCTTGCGACACACAACTGCCATAAATTACAATAAAATAAATTCTTTTGAAGACCTTCCAATTTCAATTTAAAATTAAATCTTTTACACATACAGCGGCTAGTCATGTGACTATTATTCCACTAAGAAAAATATTTATCAGTTGAACGTCATTATAATACTCATTAATTATTTAAATTAAATAAATTATAAATTATTCACAGCTATGATGCGGATATTTTAAAAGTCAGTTGTTGACAACAGTTCTTCAGAAACTTTAAATTTAAATATTTTTATAATATGTTATCCGGTTTGCCCGGTAGTATAATACCTTTACACACACACACACAATTGATCCCGTAGTGTCCGGATAACCCGGGAAGGGCGGCATTTGAAAGCCACGCCTCAAAAAGGAGAACGTTTGTTTAACTCAAACAATCGTATTATTGGTTCACAAATCGCAAATATGTTTAATAAAACCATTAAAAAGTGAAGCCAGCAGAACTATAGTATTGCTACTGAAAGTAAGTTATTATCTCCTGATTCGTAAACTCCATAAACACTCCATGAATAAGCTAAAATATATAGTATTGCTACTGAAAGTAAGTTATTATCTCCTGATTCGTAAACTCCATAAACACTCCATGAATAAGCTAAAATAGGACTCAGTCCAGTCTCCCAGTCTTCCCGATTATGTCGGTATAGTCGCCCGATATCTGAAGATTCAATTCAATGTGATTCATACAGTTTATACATTTGCGTATCAACAATATTTAACGTCTTAAATGAGCCGATATTACACTAACATACGGTATCAAATTGTATTTGAACCAACAGATTGGTTTGGTGTTAATTATCCTACTATGTAAAACACCCAATAATTTATTGTGAATATATATGTACTGTTAAAATAGAGTAACCATGCAATTGACAGATTGCAGTTTGCCCTTGACCTGTCTTATACCTTTGTTCCATGACCACTACACATATTTTTATATGTTATTAAATAGCAAAAATATTGCATTCAAGAGTATTATCTATAATGCAAAACATTTGAAACTAATAGAGGATTGTAAAGTTACTTTGGTAGTATTGCCTTGTGAATAATGAAATGTTGGAAAAATTTAACTAGACATTTTCATTTTTTTAATATGTTTTCATACGTAATTGCTCCTTTAATTTTATATTTATTTCTTAAATATTCAGTCGAACAGAAATGTGAGTGGTTCACATACAAAATATCCTTGAACTTTACTTTGACCCTGCTTTTGACCTTAACCGCCGATTTCTTTATGATCTTATATCCAATATGCAAATACGCAATGACACACCTCCTAAGCTAATAACTCTCCGTGTCCCGAAATAATGTGGTTTTTTATACTAGCAGAAAAAGCTGAACTTAAGAGGGTGTGTATTATATTATGTAGATAAGAGCTAGCCTTGTAACATTGTACATAAGCTTTCTACATCGTCTTTGTTTAAAACATTGCGATTGATTTGTACAGTATAAATTTTAGATCAGAGCATGCTTAATAATTAATTATTCTAATACAGTTTCAGCGTGTGCGCGACGAATCCGCCGAATATTGTGTGCATGTTCTAGATTTGAACAGTTGTTTATTTGCATTGCAGAGCCGTCAGCAGTTTAGCGCAAGGACTGACATCCAACGGAATGTTCGGCTCGTCATCGTCGCTACTGAGCAAGCTCAGTGGGGTCGGCACCATCTCAGGTTGGTACGATGTAGGAGCGCTGTGTTCACTATCGGTGCCGTTGGCTTCCAACTTGTCGTCGGCTGTCACCTTGTGCCGTGAGATCCGCGAGTAGCAATTATGTAAATACAAAATGCCATACCGCAATTCTGTATAATATTCATTAATTTGTATATATTATGTATATAAAACTATTGATTAATTTGTGTATAGCACTGTATTAAGTAATTGATTACATCTTTTACTATAATTATATCACGTTCATATCAGTTGTTTTACGTACCAGTAAATGTACTAATAAACTGCGTTACAAGCACAAGTATGTTCAAAATTATGAAATTGTAATCTGAGTTAGAAATTTTCCATAATATCATGCTACCTAAGTATAGTTTTTTGGATTATTCTTTATATTTCAGGCAAGTGGTTTTCACACGTTGTTTTCTTTACCATACGTGGATAAGCGAATGCAGTAACTGATGTCTTGCAGTGTTAATGGTGTGAGGCGTCTCGTAATGTGATCGTTAATCCGCCTGCCGAGCGTGAGAATTGAGGCAAATTCTTAATAAAAAAACACGTCTACCATGGGAGAGGCCCACGTCCAGCTTTAGTTTCACAGCTGATGAAGTTAGCTTTGTTATCATTGATGATTGAAATAAAATCATTTGATGTCACTGTATTCGGAAACTTAAATTATGTATATTTTAATGATTGTCTTGCCAGAGAGTGGGGTTATGATTTTTTACATGTGTTGCAATGTAACGTGTGGTGTGTTCCACTAGAACTGGTGGGCGGCGGAGTGGGTGGGCGGGGTGGGCAGCGTGTCGGTGGGCGCGCTGGCGGGCGACAAGCCGGCCGCCGGCCGCTCGCGCCTGCTCGAGGACTTTCGCAACAACCGCTTCCCCAACCTGCAGCTGCGCGATCTCGCCAACCACATCGTTGAGTTCTCGCAAGACCAGCACGGCTCCAGGTATTCTAACCTCTGTGTGCAACGCTAGTGCAATAGAATCGCACATAACATCTAGCGATAGCGGTACTGTATTGTGAACCCTTCATTATTACGCTAGAATGGTGAAGGAAAACCTAGTAATAGTAACTTTCCTCTGGAAATTTAGTGGCTCCAATGTCCATAAAAAAAACTACAACGCAGTCTAGCAGCGCTTCAACAGGGTAGGGTTGTGCTCTCTGAGTAGAACCACTCGAGAACCTTTTTTCCCCAACGATTGTCAGTTCTTCAAGCTATATAGCCGGTCCATTGCAACAGCTTACTAATCCGTTGGGCTATGTCGGTCAATCTGGTTCTACTGCGGATATCCTTACTTCTAAGGGAAACACCGAGCAATAGCCCCCTCCATAGCTCTCTGAGTGACCTTGAGCTTCCTCATACGGCCAACAGTGTTAGGACCACGTCTCAGATTTATATGTTATCACTAGCAACATGCACTAGTTGTATAATTTCGTTTTCAAGTTTAGAGCAGGATGTGTCGTAATTTTAATCCGTTGATTGATCTATGGTTAAAGTGTAACTCAACTAGTTCTAGTCGGACTATTTCTCCCAGGTAAACATACCCGTCAACAACTCGAGCTTAGCTCTTTCAACAACTACCGGCATAGGTGTGACATGAACATTACACATGAAGATTTATTTTGTCCATGTTCATCTTGAGATCTATTTGTTGGGAGGCATTATTGAGGTCATTAAGCATAGTGCTTAGGCCCTCAAGCGATTCTGCTATAAGGCCTATGTCGTCGGTAAATCGAAGGTAAATGAATGGTACTCGCCATTAATGGTGTAATATTCTTTTTTTTTTTAGAGGATATTGTGACAAATGAACACACAGTCCACCTGATGGTAAGTGGTTGCTCGGCCTATAGACATCTACATCTATCCTCGATTACGAATCAAAATGCAGATGCGTTGCCACCCGTGAGAACTAAGATAGAATGCTCGTTTCCATAAATAAGGGTCGCCGGTTCTCTACACTCACCATACGAAACACAGCAGCATTAAGCTACTATTTGACGCTGGTATTCTGTGAGAGCGTGGTCCTTCCCCAGTCGAGCCGACCCATTCGTGCTACAACTATGCATCTAATATAACTGCAGCATGGCTCTACCACGTATAAAATCTTTCCAGTCTCGTAACTTAAAAACGTCTTCCAATGCAGCTGTGAAGAGTTTAAGGGGTATGACGTAACACTGTGTTACACCTCTTCTTCAGTTGGATGAGTTTCGTTCTTTGGTTCTATACTGGGATAGCCATCGTAGCCGTACTGTACAAACATTTCTGCACTCCGATATACCGACAGTCATTTTGGCACCGCTGAAGGGACTGCACTGTATGCTAAAATACAATTAATTTGTAGTATTACACTGCATTTTGATCTTACCTCCGATCCTGTCGCATAGGCACTACATTAGGTACGGAAATAATAGAATGAGTAAACATAAGCGTTTGACAGTAACATTTCCCACATGCTTCCGATACTATTCGGAAGTCGTCGGATATACATGATTTCGTCACCGCAACTCACAATGCAGCGTCTAACGGCTCACTGTAAACACTTGACGTAACGTTGCTCGTTTCTGTAACGTGTGGATGGCGCGGCGTTGCTAGACGAAGTGGCTCCAGCTGGTATAAGCCAATCTGAGCTGACGCAGTTGCGTCACATTATGGTGACGCAGCAGTGCTCCCTAAGATTCATATTATTTGACGTTGAGTCGGCTTAAATTGGTATAAAATCTAATTTCTGTTTTTGAGAGCAGTACCAAAATATATTCCAAATTAATGCTAATAATTAAATATTTGTTTTCCTGTAATGTTTGTAAAATCGAATTTAAATTTTTATGAAGATTAAAATCGTTTATTAAAATGGTTGAAGGTTACACTTTACGTCGAACATAGAAGCACAAAATGTAAGTTTTATATCTAACAAAACACATGCTTGAAAAATCTTCATAATTAATATGTTTTTGTCTTCAAAGTTAATTTATTGTTGTAACTAAACAAAGAAATATTTTTTAGGTTATGATAGACGACTAAATTTTTAAAGCAATTTCAGAAATGCTCAAATAAAACTAAATGCCAAATTAATAAACTTAATTAATTTTTTCTATAAACTCAATTTATTTATTCGATAATTCGTATTTTGAATGTCATGACTGCTAATACTTCAACATTAATTCATTAACATACCAGCCTTATGACCTAAACATAGTTGTTACACCATATTGATTTACTTACTTAAGCACTCATTAAAAAAATCGTTGACGTTTTATCCTTCACAAATTTTATTTGATAAAATTTAGGTTAAGTTACTATATTGTATAACATATTAATAATTATAACGGTATGAATATGAAATAAATTCTTAAGATTTAAAAGGCTATTTAAATAAAATTCAAACACCAGAAATCTAAGAAACACACAGTCCACATTATAATGAAGGATTCTAGGGTGATTAAATTATAGGCACCTATAAATCAGAATGTAGAAACAAACCTTTTGTTAATTCACAATAAAAAAAAACACTGGATATAAAACTTTACAAACATTTTGGTTTGTTTACGAGAAAAATTACGGTATAAATATTTCGACTGCAGCCAAAAAGCTTTGTTATAAGATTATATGTCATAAGAATTTTTACTCATTACGTTAAATATTCAGGAAAAATATGTGCATATATACATTACTAAGACAATATTATAAATAGCCATTGCATAATATTGGAGATGATTTTATATAAATTTACAGTAGTGTGAACTTAGAGACATTTTGCAATCCCAATATGTGTGTTACTCTGTATTTCGGGTATGGAACAGATAAACAAAATGACTGTTGTGTAAATTATCTTGCGACAGGAGTTTACAATGATGATGCCCGTAAACCACTTTTACGTAACCCTCGGGAAGAGCGAAACCAGTGCCCGTGGCGTAGCATATATGTGCACGTTTACGTATAGCCACAAGGGCGTCAATATAATGTTATAACATTTTCAATATGACGTATATCTAACCACAAATAATTTACATATGTAAATTTGTTGCAGGTTTATACAACAAAAATTAGAAAGAGCGACAGTTCAAGAAAAGCAAATGGTATTTAATGAAATAATTGGCGCAGCGTACAATCTCATGACGGATGTTTTTGGGAATTACGTTATACAGAAGTTCTTTGAGTTTGGGACAGCTGAACAAAAAACGACATTGGCACAGAAGGTAAATTCTAAAATTCATTAAAAAAGAGCTTATTTATATGGGCATTATTGTGTTTGACTTTAATAGTTGTATTTTTTATATGTGGTTAATTTAATATCAATAAAACGTACAAAACTTTGTAGGTCCGTGGGCATGTTTTGGCACTGGCGTTACAAATGTATGGCTGTCGGGTAATACAAAAAGCACTAGAATCTATCCCAGCCGAACAACAACAAGAGGTAGTTCGAGAACTAGATGGACATGTATTAAAATGTGTGAAAGATCAAAATGGGAATCATGTGGTAAGTTTATAAGATTTTTATTACATTTTCCGAATATAATAATTTATAATGTAGAACAGTACCCTTGCCACAAACCTGCGAAGCGCGGCAAATGGGAAATATGAGGTATTAGTACAGCTCATCACAGGTCCACTGCTGAACATAAAAACTAATTAAGGGGATATCTGCCATTGTCGCCACTCCCGACAGGCTCCCACCAATTCGCCTTTGGCGATGACAGTCTTTTTATTTGCCTTCAACAAAAAATTATACTCTTATTGTCATCAATAATGTAATAGAAACGGAAAGAAACATAGGGGTTGGATATGGTAAAAGTGAGTAAGATAATAATAGTGTTGAATCAGAATGAGATACAGTAAGGACATTGGATAGATCGTGGGCCGTTTTGGTAGATCGTTCCACAGTCTGCGTTATGCTTTTCGGTTTTGGTCTGTTTTGTATGTTGGGTAGATAGTTAGTTTTGGTTAAATATGTGATAACGGTTATGCACCGTTTATCAATATGATATAATATTTTGATAACATAATATTAATTATGTTTTGATATAACTGTCTCATGCCTAATAATTCGTGATAACTCACATTGATGCAATGTTTTATACCAAAAAGTAAAAGCATTCTTCAAATTTTTTTTAGTACTTTGATATCGACTTTTACATCTTGTTAAAGAAATTCTTTACTATTTTGAGTGGACTAAGAAACATCATAATCTCAATGTTATCTAAATAGTTTATAAAAATCTTTATTCACCAGTTTGCCACTTTTAGGGGCGGAGATTTATTTCTCCAGGTTTATAAGGGACTATGCCTGAAGAGTGACCTTTTACTTTTTTGAAGTGGGCTAAAATACAATGTAATGTTGGAATGGATAGTGATTGAGTTTGTGTGGTCGTGCGCAGGTGCAGAAGTGCATCGAGTGCGTGGAGCCGGGGGCGCTGCAGTTCATCATCAACGCGTTCGCGGGGCAGGTGTACGCGCTGTCCACGCACCCGTACGGCTGCCGCGTCATCCAGCGCATCCTGGAGCACTGCACGCCCGACCAGACGGCGCCCGTCCTCGCCGAGCTGCACGCGCACACCGACCAGCTCATACAGGTCCTACACCGCCCCACGTAGCTCGTACACCTCATACAGCCATATACACTCTCCTTCTCAATAATGCACATTCTGTAAATCTAACACCGACCTTCGAAATCTCGCGACTATTAAATAAATAATACAAAATACGTACGTTAAATTTACTTCTATTGCATGTTCTTTTTTTCAACTACAGTGCCTTGTCAGAAACTGTTTTATTAGTTATTTACATTATGAAGATAAGTAAAAATCAAGAACCAAATTAACATTTTGTTGACTTCGGTTTTTGCTAATTATTTCAAAATAATTGCAATTTTTTGCTTTCCATATTATCATACTTCAGTCTTTGGTCATAGAATTTTAAAATAAAGGTTAAATTGTATTTTACGTCCGATGAGTTTTTAGGTACCTCTGTATTAAAACTCACGTCAAGGTGGAAACACAATTATATTACTATCTGGTTATGATGTTATGCCGGATGACTAAACTAAATGTAAAACAACAATGGTCTATCTGTATACGTACTGTAGACAGAAACATGATTACGAAAAAAGTTATTTTATATCCTAATCCCTAAGTTTGGAATGAAATACGTGTTCTACTATCTCCGGCTATAATTTATCGATGTAATACATTGTACATGGTCAAAATTGAAAACATACGTCGACGATATTATTGTAACAACACGACTACACATACAATGGAACATATTGAGTGCACTTTTAAAAAAATTGTAATTTTTTAAACATTACTTAAAAAAGATACAACATGCAAGTCAAAATTCGTTTACATACGCAAATTAGGACATTAGCACAGTTTAAAAACCTTACAGTTGGGCAACAAATGTACTTGTGCAGAACAACGGTGGTGGCACACTTCACTGAGTCTGATAAGACAATATTTGCGGTTGGCGCGAGCGTGTTTTATAGTACTTACTAAATTAATTTTAAAAGTAGTTTTTGAAAAATATTATATCTATAATGGTGAATTACTGTTATAGTTAGTTACATGAGTTAATAAGTAAAATTGAATATAAATGACGGCCGTGCTTATGTTTACCCCTCTTCTTTTTTGATAAAATTCTTTATGCAATTGGGAATCTACTATATAGTTAAATTTAACAACCGTAAACTGAAAGCATCTATAAAAAGAAAGTGTCAAGAAAATATTTAGCTGTGCCGCTTTCTCGTTTTATCGAGTTTCAAATCACAACGATTTAAAAAAGTTTTCACTTCAATAAAATATAAAATGAAATTGAATAGTAATCGATAATAATGGTAATCGATTCTACGTAATATTTTTTAATCTCTGGTAATTCTAACCGCGCAATAATGCGAGTTTGCATCTCTAGTTTCAGCTACCGCCCACCCTCCCACTCCTCCTGTTACAATTTTGTTCCTAAAAACTATAACTGCGTAGCCTCGTGCGACTAACTTCAACCCGTCCAAGTTAAAATGCGCGACTTCTAAATGTGCTTTTTCTTGTGGTTATAAAAATGATCTAGATCGATAAATATTTTTCATTTATAAGTATGCACATAAAAGTAATATGTGATAACGAGTATTATAATATCGAAAATTATTTTATTTCCATTTTCTTATCAACCCCTAGAATACAAATGAGAGAGGTCTTTGATGTCAGGCGATGCCGCCTTACAACTGTAAGGTCTAAACTGTGACATTAGTAAACTATCCCTTTACGGTTACATTAATCGCTGACTTTGTACATACAAAGCTTGTACGCAAGCTGAGATCCGTATCCATATGTGTGGATAGACAATTTTAACAATCTGACACATCTTTGGTTGTGAATGATTTTAAATGCAAGTGTTCGTGATAAGTTCACTGCTGAACATAAGTCTCCCTATAGATTATCTTTACCTTATGTGGGAGAATATTTGTCATAGTTGCCATGCTTACCAAATATAGTTTTTTTTTGTTATCGTTAATGTTGCTACCTATCTCCTGGTTTGTTTCCCTCGTTTTTTACGACTTTCATGGGAAAATATGGGATTGTGGTGTTTTTACATTCCCGCCGTCACGTTACACTGTACCGACACGGTATCATGGATAATGAATTATATGTAATAAAAGTCATCCTATGTTTAGTATCACTGGTTCAGAAAAAACCTCTTTTCTGGGTGGAAAGAACCAACGAGAAATCCACCGAAGGAACAGTTTACAGCAATGTATTGTGTTACACAGCAACTACACAAATCATGTTAGAAATGGCCTTGATATTAACTCAACTAATTAAGGGGTATACAAGGGGTTATTATCATCTAATAGTAGCTTAATATTATAATAACCCTTTTTATAGAATGTTTATTCCGTTTTAATTTGCGATGGTGATATGATGATGTATTGATGTGGGCGTGTGTGTGTGTGTGTGTGTGCAGGACCAGTACGGCAACTACGTGGTGCAGCACGTGCTGGAGCACGGCGCGGCCGAGGACCGCGCGCGGCTGGTGGCGGCGGTGCGCGGCAAGGTGCTGCAGCTCTCGCAGCACAAGTTCGCCTCTAACGTGGTCGAGAAGTGCGTCACGCACGCCACGCGCAACGAGCGCGCGCTGCTCATCGACGAGCTCTGCGGCTTCAACGACAAGTGCGTACCCAGTGCCTATCCTCCGTGTATCCTCGATTAACAGTCTAAATACTGATGCGTTATCACCCCCGAAGACTTAGCTGGAATGCCTCGTTTCCAATAAAAACACTCCACTCTGCACACTCACCATACGATACACAGCAACATTAATTATTTTACGATAGGTCGAGCTGACTCATTCGTTGAACAACCATACAATAGCTGCAGCACGACACTACCACATGATGTAAGGTGCTTTCAATGCGCAAGAGAGAAACACTGCTCACTTTGTGGCTCTCGACTGGTACTGATTTTGATTCGATCTGCAATTAGATCCCGAAACCACATGTTCAGTAGTTGCGCTTACTATCACTAAACCAATGAAGCGATCGCATTGTACTAAACAATAAACAATTTCTGACGACGTATCTAGTCTAAGAGCTGTACTCAGAGATAATCTCAAGATTGAAATTCGAACTTAATTATGTCACAATTTGTGTAACAAATTCACCTAAACACAGATTTTGCCATTGTAGAGTGTGTGATTAAACTAGAGATTTTCTCTGAATATTGTTCTAACTCGTCAGTCGACTGCTAAATATAGGCTACCAGCCGACTTATATTTATTAAGTTAATGAGCGTACACATATATACTAATGCCTCACATATATAGCTTTTTTGAGATGAATGGGAAAATAAGTAGCCTTGCAACGTGGTTCTCACTTTATTTAGTTCTAACTTTCGTCCACAAACTAGTGGTGAAAATTTGCTTACCAGTGCCCGAAAATCGACTTTGCATTCATCAACCCTAGGTGGGTATGATTAGTATAGGCCAAAACTTTCAAATTATACCTATGGAATTACATTTAACTAAAATTTAAAAAAAATCGCAATAGATAAACAAATGATAAAAAAAGGAAATAACTGACTGTCCCACTATTATTTTATATGATTTATGTATCAGTCAGCTAGGTCTATTATGGTAAATTCCTATCCTATATTCAAGAAACTAAAATTATAGTAATTCAAACATAATTTAATTCTTCATTGATATTTATATGATACACTTTGAAATCGTGTGCAATATGAGAAACTCACAAAAACAGTTGCATTTGTGAAAGAAACTTAACTCGACATTGTTATAGTACTATTAGAAAACTAAATGTTAATAGTTCTCATTAAATGCTCTTTGTCATTTAATATTATTCATAGTTAGCACATCTAATATTAAAATTTCTCTTTGCAGTGCCCTTCACGTAATGATGAAGGATCAATACGCTAATTATGTAGTGCAGAAGATGATCGACGTGGCGGAGCCGACGCAGCGCAAAGTGTTAATGCACAAGATCCGGCCACATATCGGTTCGCTGCGCAAGTACACGTACGGAAAACACATTATAGCCAAGTTGGAGAAGTTCTTTATGAAGGCGCCGGAACTGGGCCCGATCGGGCCGCCGCCGCCCAATCCTGTCCTGTAGTATGTGTAAAGTATTAACGTCCGCGGAGTTAGCTGATGCGACGGCGCGGGTATCCCGCCTATTATAAATTTTGTGAATATTAACGATTGTACATTTGTAACTATAGAGCCCGCGGCCTCGCCGTCGGCGCGCCGCGCAGCCGCCTTCACAATCTGACTAGGTTATTAGTTTAGTGCGATCCGAACTGTGAGTATCGTAAGCTTGAGTTTGTTTTTGAGTTAATTAATTAGTGTTAGTCGAGGGCCGGGCTGCGGCGCGGGCACGGCCGGGTCGCGGCCGCGGCGCCTGTACATACGTAGCGGCAGCCCGCTGACTGATGTACAGAACGATACGATACGATAACTGTAACTGTAACTGTAACCATAGTTGTACAGCGTCGACGCCGACCGGTGCTCGGCTGCTCGGCTGCTCGGCCGTCGCGTCACCGCGGCGTAGCGTTCGTTGCGTTCTAGCTCGTAAGTGTTCTAGTATTATTCGTTGTTCGTATGAATCTATGTATAAATATTTGAACGTCTCTCATTCTCGTGTAATTTATAAATCGAAGGGAAGCCGCGGTCCGGTGTTACCGGGCGTTTCCGTAATTTAGCTCTTTGTAGATTTACTATTAGCTGGGCTAGGGGACCTTGAATCTTCCGAAGTGATGAAGAAATGCCGCAGGCAGTTCTGGACAATCGGCACTATAGTCGTGATTATAGTAATGCTATTATTTTGTACTGTTCAAGTCGAGCTCTCGTTTAAGTTTTAAACCGGCTTTAAAATCGTACATAGTTTATCGAATATCGTTTAGCGCCGGTATGTATAGTTTGTCGTTTATAATTTGTGAAAATGATATTTTTGTATATTTTTATGTAACTAATTTAAGTTATTTAGTTGGTCGAAGCTCCGAGAGGATCGGAGCGAGCGCTGATCGAGTGGACGATGCTTATGTTGTGGTGTTAGGTTATAGTGATGATTGTAAAGTCCTGTACTGATAGTCGTAGTCCGAGGTCTACCTTGCCGGTTGCACGTCACAAGCGTAGCTGCTCCTCATTCCCCCTGTGTAATTATTTTTATAGGAAGCGTAGTTTCCTACACGACACCTCAAATTTTTTACGTCTAGATATAATTGAAAATAAAATTATTGTATATGGCTGTACAAAAATGTTAACAAATGATGTGTAAAACCTGTATGTGATGGAATGAGGCTGGGCGTCAAGAGCAGCGAGGTGTGACTGACCGCTGCTCCGGCCGCCCCGTCTTGTAGGTTGTACTAGATAACATTTATATGATGATCCATCTATTTAGACATTAATTAATAAAGCATTTCTGTAATAATATTACAAAGCACCCGTCTTTTATTCAATCCTTTAAACCACTTGCCTCGAAAATTTGTAATGAAAACTATGAAACTTATATTAACTATAATAACCGCTCATGTGCCGAGTTCGCCTAACGTGAAATATCTGTCGTCTGCCGGCGATTTCGCGTACAAGTACTATTTCTGAACACTATTGTAATCGCTATTTTGATGTAAAAATCAACAATTGTCGCTGATAATTTGCAATTTTTGGTAGATCGTTTTGTAAATTTCAACAATGTAATCCTTTTTTACACAATAGTAGGGTCTTATTTAATTCCCAGAATCACAAACTTCCAGTATTATTAGAAATTTAGTTATCACCTATTTACTAAATACTGCCAAAAATATACCATATGTTCTAAACTAAAATTGATTAAAGTAGGTATGTGTAATAAGTCTACGGTACGCAAATTCCCAAAGTGAGAGCATATATCTGCGCTTTTGTCATTTTTTTTAAATAAGTTAAACATAAAAGTTAGACATGTTGAATTGTATGGTAATCTTTAACCTCTTAATCCCCTAGCGGCCTCATGAGCCGCGGCCATATTCCGTCAAATCCCTAGCGGTGTCATGAAACGGCACCCAACCACAGCACTTTAACGCATAAAAACTTATATTTAGAGACTACTTTTCTATGAAGAAGTTTGGCATTATAGCCTCAATGTGAAATTTTCTATCCTCTAATGCAATAAAAAGTAGTTAGTCTATGGTTTTTTTATTTATAATCGACGTTCATTTTGTACGCCTATTTCGGGTGGCGTGTTATTATGTTAATTTTTGGATTTTTCTAATGTTTTATTAGTGTTTTACTATAAAATTGTTATAGAAGTTGTTGTGTGAATATAATTTATCTTTTTACGTAAATAATTTCGAGTAATATATAGAAAGAATTGTGATATTCAAGCTGTAAATTTTTTTTCACATCTATCCACGCCAGAACAGTCACATGATCACATCACCATAATGAAATCCTACAAGGTCGCCACGCTCCATCCGTCTATCATTTAGATTTTTAATAGCTGGTGGGTTATCTACTCTACGGCGGTTGAGAGTTTTTCTCGATTTTAAGAATCGAGTTAATTTTATACTGTTGTAAAAGTTGCCATCAATTTCAGCACAATTTTAGCTAATGCTTGTCGAAATCCGTTTAAAGGCGTACCATGGATAGAGAACAGGAGAGCGATCGCTATGTACTAAAGTATAGCCCGCCTGTCCTAGAAAATTTGTAGAATTTATAGCGGCGCTGTCGTCGGTAAGTAGTATCTGCGAAGTTAGCCGTTTATGAGCAAGTTAGATGTTTCATGCTCCGTAATTTTGTAATTTTTGGCAAAAAGAAATATTAAAAAATGGAGAATTATTTTATTGTGCGTAGATGTGCAAGTGGTTTAGCATCTGATCGGAATAATAAGATTGAAAATGACTTTTATTAAGCGAACTTAGCGATCGCAGTGCCTCACTTGTGGTGTACATATTTCTGGGACACTATTTTCTACGGCGATCGTTCTCCTGTTCTCTAATCTCCGTGGGCTGTACTACAGTCTGTATGATAGTCTTACCTGTATAGACTATAAATTTCAGAAGATATCCTGTTTTAGCTTCACATAATTCGTAAGTCTTGATGCCGAATCTTGCACTTTGGATCGAATGCATTGAATCCAAGAATAAACAACCTTTCCAACGAAGTAATGATTCGTCAACGCTTATAGCTCTTTCAGGAGTATACAAGTGCCTAAACTTTTCATGGACATAGTCTATGATGGGCCCAATTTTCGCAGTTTTTCTATCGGCACGGTGTATGTTTTGGTCTAAATGATAATTATTTACAAAACGCAGCATCAAATTTAAATACCGATTTCTGGGCATTAATTTCCTAAAATCGACATTCCTGAAACACCGGTTGACCAGTATTCGTCAGCACGCCCTCTGAAACAAGTCCATGTATAAAAATAGGAAATAACCGTTGAAGCTCATTTTGAGATGTCTCGAAGCACTTGTCCAGTCTAGAATTTCGGGAAATAGTACCTTCCGAAGCTTTCACAATTTTTTGCCAGGCATACTCGATAATTTCCGCAACTATCTTTTCCATAACAGGTTTATCCCATATTTGGCTAAATATTTTGTTTGCTGTATGATTGGCCCAGCTCGTTCCGTGTAGGTTTCTTCCCGATCTGTAAAAGTTCCAAAGTCATTCGACCTATTAAAATCTTCTGGGTTTGCCTCTGTTTCGTCTTCCTCTTGCTCATCGGCACTCTCATTGTCGTCTGCAAGAATAGAACGGAGCGTTTCTTCTGACATTTCTTCAGTTTCACTTTCTTCATCTTCACTTTCGGAGTCTACAGCCAGTGAATCCATCAGAGACTGAGGAAACACTGACTTTAAAGCCACGGGATTTTTTTCTGCATCTTCAAACTCCTGAAAAAAACGTCAATATTGATAGTCAATATTATAAAGTCAAAGATTCGATTACTTTAGTGAAGAAAAAAGTTTTCTTACATCATCTGATGGTAGCTCTTCAAATAATCTTTGCCTTTTTTGAGCACTGGCTGCGTTAGTAGAAGGAGTTGCAAATGGTATGTTGACAGAAGGCTCAGCTATGACTGAATCGCCGCCAAAACGCTCTTGTGTGAACGACTGATTTTAGTTGTTCACGACGAAAAAGTGAACAACTAAAATCAGTGTCTTGTTTTTAAAATAAGACAATTTTTGCAAATAAGGCATTGAATATAAACGCTCAAATAATAATTTCCAAATATACATATGAACGAGCAAATATTTAGTACATATTATATATACCTGAAAGGTTCCTGATGTGATCTCTTGATTATAATTTGTGTGATCTCTCGATTATAATTTGTGTGATCTCTTGATTATAATTTGTATGATCTCTTGATTAAAATTTGTGTGATCTCTTGATTATAATTTGTGTGATCTCTTGATTATAATTTGTGTGATCTCTTGATTCTAATTTGTGTGATCTCTCGATTATAATTTGCTGATTTGGTACCACGCTTTGATTTTCTAACGAGTTCAATTGTTTTGCAGCTACCGAAGTATGTGGTGTTAGTAAGAAAAAGAATGAAAGAAAAAATAATACGTTATGGTGGGACGATGAGATACGTATGGAAGTTGAAGCAAAGAAGAGAACATGGCTAGATTTACTAGCAACAAAAGCTGGTAATTCTAGCGGTACGAATGATGATAATGAAAGAAAAAAGGCAGCCTTTAGACATCTAAATAAGAGAGTAAAAGAAGTAGTGTAAAGGAAAAAGCAAGAAAGAACGGATAAGAATGATAGAAGAATATCGGATAACTTCCAGGCAAATATTAAAATGTTCTGGAAACTCGTAAGAACTTCCAAGGGACATTCAAAACAGCGAATAGTGAATGCTATAAGAGATGAGAATGGCTATATTCTGAATGATGAAGTTTTGAGTTTAAAGAGATGGAAGGCATATTTTGAAAGCGTTTTTATGAGTGAGGAGACAACGTATAAAATAAATGAAGTAGAAACTCCGAAAGAAGAGGAAAGAGGTAGCGAGATAAGTATAGTTGCAATAATGAAAGCAATGAAAAGCATGAAAGCAGGTAAGGATATGATAGAGTTTCACTCGAAATGCTAAGGGCTGGAGAGGAAGTGGTGGCAGGCCTGCTGCGCACCTTGTTTAATTTATGCTGGGAACTGAAGCGGGTACCGGTAGACTGGTCCAAAGCCGTGATAGTCCCAGTATATAAAGGAAAAGTGTCGCAGCAAGACTGTAAAAACTACCGTGATATCAGCCTTTCTTAGCATTGTGGGAAAACTGTATGCTAAGGTACTGATTGAAAGGGCGTTGGAAGAAACTGATGAAAAAAATTTGGGATCTGCAAGCGGGATTTAGAAAGAGAATGGGGTGTACAGATCAAGTCTTTTCCATGCGCATGATCGCGGAAAAGTTTTTGGCCAAAAACCAAAAGGTTTTTTGTGCGTTCATGGACTTGGAAAAGGCCTATGACAGAGTGGATAGAAATGTGCTATGGCAAACACTGAATTCATTTGGGTTGAACGCTGGCTTGATACAGGCATTTTAGTCGCTTTATAGGGTCTCTAGTGCTTGTGTTAGGATCAACGGGGTCTACTCGGACTGGTTTGGCATCCATAAAGGTGTCAGACAGGGTTGTGTGGCTTCCCCGTGGCTGTTCAACCTATTTATAGACAGTTGTTTGCAAAATTTGAACGTTGAAGAATGCGGATTAAGAATGGGTGAGCTTTTTGTACGCCGATGATCAAGTTATTTTTGCGTCGTCGGCGGCCGCGCTGCAAATGATGGTTACATTAACGAACAGATTATTAAAAGAAAGGGGTATGAAAGTGAACGCAAGTAAGACGAAAGTTATGGTTTTTGAAAGAGAAGAAAGTAAGACGATATGTGAAATAAGAATAGAAGGAGAGTTGATCGAGCAAGTAGATGAGTTTGTATATCTGCGTTGCGTATTTACCAGGGATGGGAGATGTGATAAGGATATAAAACGACGAGTGAATGCAGGAAATAGAATAAATGGGGCCCTACACTCTATTGTGAAGAGTCAAAATGTGTCGAAAAAGACAAGTATGGCAATTCACAATGCTGTGTTGGTCCCTACTTTAACGTATGGTAGTGAAAGTTGGGTGTGGTAGAAGATGCACGAGAGTAGAATGAACGCAGTAGAAATACGGTCGTTAAGGAGTATCTTAGGGCTGAATCTGAATGACAGGGTAAGAAATTGTGTAATAAGAGAAGAGTATGGTTTGCAAGATGATGTTGTGACCAGGATTAAGAAAGGAATGCTTCGGTGGTTTGGTCATGTGGAAAGAATGAATGAGGAAAGAGTGACAAAGAAAATTTATGTTGCAGAAGTGAATGGCAGAGTCGGAAAGGGACGTCCTAGGCGAAAATTTATCGACCAAATTGGCGATTTATTGAAAACGGGCCAAATTAGGGGTACCCTTAACCGACGAGCATGTATGCGTAGGTATATGGATGTGAAGGAGGCGAGAGAGGTGTGTCAGGATCGTGCCAAATGGAAGTCTGTAGTCTCTGTCTACCCCTCTGGGTGACAGGCGTGAGTGTTTATGTTCAATTGTAAATCTTAACCATCCAGGACCAGGAAACCACACCCTCTAAATGCATTTCCAAATCGGTCTAGTTGCTTAGAAGTTCAGTGACATACTCGCACAGAAGATAAAGATAAAAGGTAAAGAAAAAACCAAAAATCAAATAAAAATAAAAATTATTGTAATAATGATAATTTGACCCGACACACGACTCATCTACTTGCTGATGATACTTCTATCTAAATTTAAAAGAAAATTAATAGATCATTGTTTTTCATTTGTTAAAATGTATGTGAAATAAATAATTATTATTATATAGTTTTCTCATCTGGTTGGGTTCTATAAATATATAATTATAAATGAAAATGAAGAGATAAATATACATAAATATCAATAAAATAAATACAAAAATACATAAATAAATAAAACCCAACCAGATGAAAGCCCTCGGCAGGGGAGACCAAACGGCCGAGGGTTAGGGGGAAAGGGTAAAAAACCGGCGCACGATGCGGGCGGTATCGAGGAGCACCGCCTTCTGCATTTGAGCCCAGAGCGGTCTGTCACGGAGTCCCAGTGACCTCAGGTTAACTGGGATTAGCCCATTCGTAGAGTTGACTACAGGAATAATTTCGGTCGGCATTGGTATTACAAAATTAAATACTAGATGGCGCTAGTGGCATTAATTATGGCGCGCAACAGTATTTAAGTTATTTTGTTACTAAGTATTCATATTGACAATCAAAGCAAAAAAATCCAATTATGTATAATTAATAACGTATTAATAAAAGTTATAATAAGTTTGTGTGACGACTCATTGTTGCCTACACAGTAACGTAAAATTCTTCTGAACAGTGGCGGTACCAGGAAAATTTTTAAGTAGTGCGAGATTTAATAGGCACCTATGGGGTTCCTTCCACAATAGTAAAATTAAAAAGATATATTTACGTGGTGTAATAGCATGATTGGTCGGGCACTTTAGGCAGCCCTCTGTCACTCTTGCTACCTACGTGAAATAATTACCTACAATCCCGAGACGCCCAGGGTAACATAAGCAGTCGGGGCTAGACGCGTTATAGGCGATTGAATATTAAAGTTTTGATGTGACACATCTATAGCCGAGGGGTAAAACCGATCGTTGCCGTGGCGAAGCGTCGCCACGCTACATGATAGTATATATCAGGGATGTTGCGGATGCCGATTTTTTCACATCCGTGGATGTGAATGCGGATGCTGTTTTTTGAAGGTTCACATCCGCGGATGCGAACCCGGATGTTTAAGATCTTATATAAAAATAGTATATGAATGAAGAATTAAAACAATGATAAAGTAATTATTAAAATTTTTGTCAATGAAAATTAGTAATAAGTATAATTCTCCAATTTTTATTTAAGTATTTCATTTACTAATTTTCATATTAGTTAGTGAACCTAATGATAAAGTAATTATCAACATTTTTACTAATGAAAATCAGTATTAAGTATAATGCTTCTATATTTTTTTAACTTCACTTACTAATTTTCATATTAGTAAGTGACGTTAAAAATACTTAATAACGAGAGTTATACTGCCGCTTCTTCTGATTCAAGGAGGTTACGCAAAGGTTTGTAAATTAAACCTGCGCTACTAAATAATTGTTCGTTAGGAACACTGCCTGATGGAGTGAATAAAAATCTTCGTGCTATTGGTGATATCTTAATTCCTCTCGATGAACACTCCACCACTTAAGAGGATTTTCATGCACATTGAGTCTTTTTTTTTAGCGCGGTATTAAAGTAATTCCTTTTTGAGTACAGCTTCAATGCTACCATTTCCTGGTACTTCTTGACTCTCATCTTCACTTGACGAATCTAAATCTAAATGTAAACAAATCGTAAAAAGAGTTCTTTTGAGGTTGCTTTTACAATTTAAACCTATTATGATTATTATCATAGCAAAGTGTGATTATTTATCACAAATATAAAAAAATAAGTAAATTATAAAACTTTTTAGTGTCTTAGTCATAATTAATAAGTATAAAACTTAAATTAAGACAAAAATAAAACAAATAACTAACAGACATTTACAAAGAAACTAAAAAGCGAAAGGAACGAGTATTTCTTAATTTGGTCGGATTATACAAGCCAGGTTTGTTTGTTTACATTCTATTTTTTCATAAAATGGAAAGGATTAAGTATCAAGATAGCTACGACTAAAGAAATGTTAAAAAAAGACATCACTACCTATTTAAATAATGATATTATGATAAATTTCTAGACTAAACATTTGCTAAAAAAGCGAAGATTTTATTTTCTGTAATTGATTTTCTTTACTCATGATCTCATATTTGGAGGTGCATCGACTTTAGATGATTTTTAAAGACTAGGTGGTTCGGCCCTTGCGAGAGTAGCTTTTATTGGATATTTTACAAGCAGTCTTATCAAGGTCCTCTTTATTTGGTTCAAAATAATTCAATATATTACTTTGTATCGGTGGTAACATTATTAATTAACTTGTTAGATAATTTAACAATAACGGGAACCTCCCTAGATAAATAAAAAAATTGTTTTAAAATGATAAACTTTACCTACAGTAAAACGTATTACTGGTGTACACGTTACATAATGGCATTTACCTGACGATTTCCCAATAAACAATTATTTAAGTACACACAATGATCCACACAACAAGCAATCCACAGCGCAAACAAACACGTTATGATTTATTTACAATAAACAAACAATGCACCACAAGAAACGCGTCGGATCTTGTCCACCGATGTTTTCGCTCCCATTGGTATTTGTCACGTGCAAACGGCACGCGCCATTGCTGGCCCCGCTCATTTCTTTCTTGTCACAACTTGTATTACATTCGCATCCGCATGAAAATCCGCATTAATTATTGCGGATGCGGATGCAGAAGTTCAAATCTATGCGGAAGTTCCGCATTTGCGGATGCGGATGCGAATATTCGCAACATCCCTAGTATATATACATATACCATGCGTTGGGCATCGCAGAACTCACATAGGTGCGAAAATTTGTTCAGGCGACCATAGTCAGAATAGGTACATCACCTAAGTAACTTAATTAACATTTAGCAACGTATTTTTTTACTTTTTATTGACATCCTTTAGTAATCACGGAAAGTCCGCCATCTCTTATGAAGAGGAAAAGATGCAAAGAAATATGGACACTCGCGCGATAATGTTTTATTTAGCTTGCTTGCGCGATTTATCTAATTCGTAATAATAATGTAGGCTATTAAACCTCGGCAAGCAGTCAACATCACAGGAGTGCAACTTCTGTACGTAGTACTAAATTATTCTGTGGCAGCAGCAACAACAACTGTATGCACATACTGTATAAGGACTCCCAAATCCTTAATTGTATTCAGTATTAAAAATGTGCCTAAAGTAGGACTTTTTTGCTGAGACTGGACATTGGACTTGTAAAATTATTATAGTTTTCTGATATTCAGATCACTTGCCAGATATTTGCAGATTGAAGTTTGGCTTCGGCAATAGTGCGGTTCTGAACACAAGTCTATGAATAAATGCTTGCACTGATGCCTGTATATTTTTGAACAGTTCGGTTTTACGGTACCCTCTTTTTTTCCATTAGAAACTCACTGCTTATCTAGTATATATACAGTAATCTACGCTGCTTATAAAAGACTTGAACTGGTTTTGTGACACGAATTTTTTTTTGAAGCAAATCGCTGCTAGAATCAACTTTTGGCAAACAGTTATAGATTGTTTATTAACTTTTACCATGTTATTTTATGGTAAACTGCTTGGTGGCTCCAGAAGCGCTCTGGGTTCCAGTCTCAGGGTTCTTGACCTTTATCTGTGAATCGATGCAGCTTGACAGCATTTCAATATCATTGCATCCTTACAGAATTCTTATAAAAAGCTGTATGGAATTTTCGTAATATAATACCTACCCAGCTGTCACTTTCTTGCGTTCAAATTCTCCGCTAGGAATAAAAGTATTCTGTGATTCAAATACTTTGCATTTGTGTTCACAATGTGGAATTCTTGGCAAAGTTTTTGCACAATACCCAAAGCAAAAATAAAAAGACGATCGAAAATACATTTGTTCCAGTGCAGGAATCGAACCCCTTGAACTTGAACTTCCTTGCGGTATCGGACAAAAAATGTCATATACTCAAACTTCAATCTAAATTTGTATTTCATTTAACTACTCGTATATTTATATTAGTAGGATATTACTTTCATTATTCAAACGTCGCCACTCAGTAAATAGAAGATGTAATAATATAATTTTGTTACCATTTACTTCTAACAGTTTCTTCTCTCCTTAAATTCAACCTGCAGTATGGCCTTGGCATAATACAAACTTACCTAATTTATTTCGCCTTATTTGCGGCTGTGCAGTCTGCTTCTACAAGGAAATACAACCATCCTGATAAAGAGCTATAGATAGCACACGATACCACAAGATTTCTCACTAAAATAATGTATTGGCGGCCATACACTGTTTAATAACTGTTTTGACTCGAATGGAGCACTTCTATTGGCTGGCGTGAATGTAGCTACTATATATAGTTTTGATGCTGAATTTTTGAGCATTTGTTTCCAAGCTAAATTTTAAATCAAAATACTCGGGAGTGAGCCAAGTTTGATGCCAAATATTTTTCATGATAAAGGGTAATCATAAAACGGAATTGTTGCCATAATAAAATGAATTTCGTAGAATCGTAGACGAAGTTAATTATGATACTATACCCCTAACTTGTGGACTATGAATCCGATACGCCCTTGGGATAGATGGTCGCCCTCTTGGTGAGAGAACAAGTTGCCGAATTCGAGGATAACAGTGTCCTCCTCTTTCGGACCTCAGATTATCCTATACCCCGCCGTAACTCGTTCTTCTTCCAGCTTTTCGATTTTCTCATAAGTCCAAAAGGTGCGTGCGTTGAATGTTGCCATTTTGACTTGTTTAAGATAGCAACCGAAACTCCACCGGAGATTATTAGCGCCTCCTGCCCCGCCGTTACTATGGTCCCGTAGCCAGTTTTAACGAAGCTGCATTAAACAAGGGACTGCTTTTTTGAACCTTATGCCAAAGGCATCAATATACCTCATAATGTGATATCTGTTACGCTTGGCAACCGCAGTTATTTTATTGTAATTTTGCTGTCATCTGAAAGATGCTGCTGTTCAACTGCTGGATTGTACTGTAGTCTCTAAAGACACCCACGGGACGGGACGATATGGCATAGTGAATATTGTAGGGAAAAAAAATTATGTATAAAGGGGAATAAAACTTCAAAAATATAACTTATTATCTTTAATTCTAAATAATGCATCAAAATATTGGTGTTATATTGAAGCAATACCGAAGGATATTCAAAAACAATACTGGACTGTTTTTTATGTAAAGACGTCTATTTATCTTCGTCTTTGTCTTTTGGCTCCTTCGACTTGGGCTTCGTGCTGCGTTCGCGCTCCCTGTCGCGGGGGCGTTCCTGGCCTCGTTCGCGTTCTCTAGAGCGGTCTCGCTCGCGCGACCTTTCACGTAGTCGTGGAGACCGAGACCGCGACTTGTGACGACGCGATCTTGACCGTGATCTTTCTCGTCGGTATGATCTGAGTTGAAAGAAATATACGATGAAACATCTCAACTGGATTTCTTATAACAAATTGTTAACACAAGAAAAAGGTATGTATTGAAATAAAACATATTTTTATAGAAAGGTATAATACAAATGTATTATGAAATAAGATAATTATAGATTAAGAATTATATTATAGTATACATTTAAATATAAAGAGCCGTGGTAGCTCAGATGGTTAACGCTCGCTGTAAATATAACAGAATGCGAGTAACCCGGGTTCGATCCCCACCGGCACCAATGAAATTGTTAATTGCAATTTTAAGTGCTGATTTACCACATGCTCGGCGGTGAAGGAAAACATCGTGAGGAAACCTGCATGTCTGAGGAATAAGAAAAAAAATATTTCGAAGACATGTGAAGTTCGCCAACACGCATTGGGGCAGCGCGGCGGACACTTCCCTGCCCTAAAACCCTCAGTAATGAGGGGAGGCCTGTACCCAGCAGTGGGACGTATATAGGCTGTAACTTTACTTTTACTTTTATAAATTTATGCTATGAATACACCTAAGTCTACAAAAGTACGTATTTATACTTACTTTTCTCGTACTCTATCTGGTTTCATGGACCGCGAACGTTCACGTTCACGCTCCCGTTCACGCTCCATTTCTCTTTCTCTTTCTTCCTGTAAAACAAAGTAGAGAAATTAAAATTGATGCAACTTTGGTGTAGCAGTTTGGGAGTTTATAAACAAGCACCTAGCTTGTTATGTAACAGCTCGGTTGAACATTAAAATATTTTCTTTTAGACGACATAACAGTGCAGTCAACACTTAAGGCGAGGATTTTCAACGTTAAAAGGCTTTCAGCCATAGACTTACTCTACTGCATATGGACCGGGTCATTGAAAAAAGTAAATGCCACCGACTACTTGTTGCGAAAATGTTTATGGAGCACCAACGCGACCATCAATGCGTGCCGTGCGCCCGTGCAGTGTTTCCACTTTTAGATATTTTGCACTATTTTAGGGTAAATCCACAAATATAGGTAAGGCTTTAGGTGTTTCTTCAAGTTGACAGGGTTTCGGATCTACACCTTGTTTGGAGCTGCTGTACAGGGGTGTTACAAGACGCGGACATCGAGCTACAACATCAAGGGATGGCGTCTTTCATGCGGTGATCGACGCGTGCAGCGCGATGGCAGCGGCGGCGGACAACGTCCACTTCAACTTCGACGATTGAAACTTTTAATTCTTTGCTTTGTACTGGCATATCTTTTCCGTGAGAGTTAACTTTCGTTTCTTTGCTTTTCGGGTGGCATATGTATGTACCACACATTTTTATTTAGTAAACGCTGCAACCTACTTTTAGCGACGCGTGTATTTAATTTTAGTTATTTAATTGCAATCTTAGAATCGGCAGTACGTCAACTGAAACCGTCCTACTAAACAACAACTACTCAAGGAAAGATTTGCCACTCTAACTTTATAATTATTTCACTTTTAATAAACCTTTAAAATTTGGTGATCTTTTCCTTCTGACGTGCTCAGAAACTAACTACAACTCTACTTCTTGAAAGTGTATGGCCGTACAAACCATACAAACCATACATTCATGTCACCATGTTTCAATCTACGGGGGAGGCCTATGTTCAGTAATGGACTTTAATAGGTTGAAACGGTATGGGTAATAATTTTATTTTGTATTACTTGTACTCGTATGCGCATATTTTTTTGAGTATAATATACTATTTGAAGAAGGATCAATTCTCGCGCATTAATATTACGTATAAAATACAATATTTTGTGGAACCTGGCCTCAGCATGATATAACGAGGAGTATTTAAAGAAGCTCACCTCCTCGCGCCTGTCACGCTCGCGTCGGTCTCGGTCGTCGCGGCCGCGCTCGCGGTCCCGCTCGCGCTCGCGCTCTCTGTCCCGCTCGCGCTCGCGCTCGTACGGGTGCGGGTGGGGGTGAGCGTGCGGGTGCGTGCGGTAGGGCGGCGGGAAGGGCGCGGGCGCGTGCGGTGGCGCCAGGTTCGGCGGCGGCGGGCCCATGGCCAGCGGGCCCGGCGTCAGCTCCTTGATCTCGCTCGGCGCCCACCCGCCCGCCTCCGGGTGCCCTGCGACACCAGCTTCAATAAACCATTTGATAATAATATCTTCAACAACGAATTTCGGTAAGGCGATCAGTCTCAACAGAGATTGGTCATCTGCATAGAACAGGATTATGGTGCCTAAAGAATCATGTCCAGACTTGACCTGAAAATTTTCTAACGCGTCTAGTGATGTAAAATATCTTATGAAATTGTATATTTTTTTTCGTATTACGTATCGCACAATTGAATTTTTAAATAAAGCTAGTAAAAAAGTACTATGTTTATCATTCTCAATAGACTTTAATAAAATTATCATTCTAAATAGACTTTTTACGTGGTAGAGCCATGCTGCAATTATATTAGTAGTATAGTTGTAGCACGAATGGGTCGGCTCGACCGGGGAAGGACCACGCTCTCACAGAATACCAGCGTCAAATAGTAGCTTAATGCTACTGTGTTTCGTATGGTGAGTGTAGAGAACCGGAGACCCTTTTTACTGGAAACGAGGTATTCCATCCTAGTCCTCACGGGTGACAACGCATCTGCATTTTGATTCGTAATCGAGGATAGATGTAGATGTCTATGGGCCGCGGCAATCACTTACCATCAGGTGGACTGTGTGCTCGTTTGTCACCCTATCCTACATTGATTTATATGTTACACTAGATAAGTAATTTCCGCGCCAAAGCGTTGTCACTTCACATAAGGCCACAGCCTTATACTCAGCGAACGTCGGTTCAGTGTTCAAGGTGACGCCGTCCGAGTTAAGCCGAACGATTCACAACAAAAAATGGGTAAATGCGTAGTGAAAGAATGCGTTTCAAGGTCACAAAAACATAATAAATCAAGCGGAATCACTTTCCATACGTAAGTTTTAATTTATATATTCATATTAACGTTTAAAACACTAAAAAATTAAATAAAATATCGAATATTGCAATTTAGGTTCAATGTTGCCACTTTTCCCTGATTTTTCCACATTAATGGGAGACTGTATAATTTATGGAATAAGTTAATTTTGTTTTAAAATAAACAAGTAAAATTGATTGCTTAAAAATAAAAACTATGTTTCAACCTTTATACAAAATAATTATTCTTATTTTATTTTATTCATGAATTATCTATTAAATATATTTTACTACCTTATATCTTATAATAATAATTTTATATTAATTAAAATTTCATATAAATTTTATATTAATTATATTTCACTACCTATTTTATATTACTTGATTTATTAGTACAGTAAAAAATATTTATAAAAATATGTTTTATTTCATCATTATGTACTTCTAACTCATCTGATAAGCTTTGTATTCTTTTTTTCTAAGGGGACGCAATAAAGATTTTAAAATAAAATATACTTTCTTAATATAAAAACAATTAACTGAAGCTTAAAAAAAACTCATTTTTATTGCGTATTTTAGGTAAAATTTTATATAGTAAGCCACACCAACCCGCCATTGCATGTTTGTGTGTCTATCTTTATCTAATTTTAGCGACGATATTGTTTACGTAACTTGTGTAAGTGAGATAGATATATGTTTATTTAAAATTGTTATTAGTTTCAAAGCTACGTCGTCGCGTTTGGATAGTGGTTACACATTTTTCGACGCGCGGTAATGTGGTTTGCTCCTCTAGTGTTGTATAACTCAATGCTATCCTATAAAAAAAAAAAGACTTTTGGATTTATTTTTTTGTATAATTTATTAATTTAGGATTAGATGTAGTTTTTAATTGTTTTATACTATGATGTGGAAAGAAAAATAAGTGTACAGACCTTATCTGACAGCTGTTATAACCAGAAAATTTTACTTACCTACTTAATAGCATTTTTCCCTTGCCTCTAAATGAAAAGATGATAAGCTATTATGTTATTTTAAATAATAATTGTTTTTATACAACAGTAGTTGTAGGTAGACGCAAACTGTTAAAGGAATCAAGTGACAGGTCATTCAATGTATAGAAAGTGGGCATGATTCTTTATACGCTAGCATAGGCGCACTCTCTATTTCCTCACTCTTATAGTCCAATGGAACGGTGAACCGACACGACCGGACAAATTTCAGGGCTCCTCGTATGAGACGTGCGGCGGCGGGTAGTAGTGTTCTGGCGACAATGTATACACGTACACTCACCCCAGGGCTCCTCATATGCGGCCTGCTGCAGCGGGTAATAGTGTTCTGGCGACAATGTATACACGCACACTCACCCCAGGGACACCTCGAATGCGTCGTGCTGCGGCGGGTTGTAGTGTTCTAGCGACAATGTATACACGCACACTCACTCGAGGGCTCCTCGTATGCGGCGGCGTGTAGTAGTGTTCTGGCGACAATGTATACACGTACACTCACCCCAGGACTCCTCGAATGCGGCGTGCGGAGGCGAGTAGTAGTTTTCTGGCGACAATGTATACACGCACACTCACCCCAGAGCTCCTCGTATGAGGCGTGCGGCGGCGGATAGTAGTATTCTGGCGACAATGTATACATGCACATTCACCCCAGGGCTCCTCGTATGCGGCGGCAGGTAGTAGTGTTCTAGCGACAATGTATACACGCACACTCACTCGAGGGCTCATCGTATGCGGCGGCGGGTAGTAGTATTCGGGCGACAATGTACAAACGTACCACTCACCCCAGGGCTCCTCGTATGAGGCATGCGGCGGCGGGTAGTAGTGTTCTTGCGACAATGTATACACGTACACTCACCCCAGGGTTCCTTGTATGCCCCGTGCGGCGGCGGGTAGTAGTGTTCTGGCGGCAATGTATACACGCATATTCACTCCAGGGCTCCTCGTATGGGGCGTGCGGCGGAGGGTAGTAGTGTTCTGGCGACAATGTATACACGTACACTCACTCCAAGGCTCCTCATATGCAGCCTGCTACAGCGGGTAATAGTGTTCTGGCGACAATGTACACACGTACACTCACCCTGGGAGTCCACGAATGCGGCGTGCGGAGGCGGGTAGTAGTTTTCTGGCGACAATGAATACACACACACTCACCCCAGAGCTCCTCGTATGAGGCGTGCGACGGCGGGTAGTAGTATTCTGGCGACAATATATACACGCACACTCACCCCAGGGTTCCTCGTATGCGGCGGCAGGTAGTAGTGCTCTAGCGACAATGTATACACGCACACTCATTCGAGGGCTCCTCGTATGCGGCGGTGGGTAGTAGTGTTCGGGCGACAATGTACACACGTAGACTCACCCCAGGTCTCCTCGTATGAGACGTGCGGCGGCGGGTAATAGTGTTCTGGCAACAACGTATATACGTAAACTTACCCCAGGGTTCCTTGTACGCCCCGTGCGGCGGCAGGTAGTAGTGTTCTGGCGGCAATGTATATACGCATATTCACCCCAGGGTTCCTCGTATGGGGCGTGCGGCGGAGGGTAGTAGTGTTCTGGCGACAATGTATACACGCTCACTCACCCTAGGGTTCCCCGTATGCGGCGTGCGGCGGCGGGTAATAGTATTCTGACGACAATGTACACACGTACACTCACCCCAGAGCTCCTCGTATGAGGCGTGCGGCGGCGGGTAGTAGTGTTCTGGCGACAATGTATACACACACACACTCATCCCAGGACTCCTCGAATGCGGCGTGCGGAGGCGAGTAGTAGTTTTCTGGCGATAATGTATACACGCACACTCACCCCAGAGCTCCTCGTATGAGGCGTGCGGCGGCGGATAGTAGTATTCTGGCGACAATGTATACACGCACACTCACCCCAGGGCTCCTCGTATGCGGCGGCAGGTAGTAGTGTTCTAGCGACAATGTATACACGCACACACTCACCCCAGGGCTCCTCGTATGGGGCGTGCGGCGGCGGGTAGTAGTGTTCTGGCGGCGGCGCGGCGAAGTAGTCCGGCGGCGGCGGCTCGCGCACGTGCCCACCGCGCCCGTATTCACGCCGCTCCGCCGTCATCACCTAAAACCAATGTAAAATGAACTCCAGACTGAACACCCAATTTCGGTCACGGCACAGAATAAATAATAGCACTACGTACAGAAGTTGCACTCCTTTGATGTCAACTGCTTGCCGACGTTTAATAGCCCACATAATTATTATTAATCAGATATATCGTGCACGCAAGCCACATTACTTTGCATCTTTTCCGCTAAGCCACGGCGGACTTTCCGTGGTTATTATGGGATGTCAATAGAAAGTAAAAAAAAAATTATTGCGAAATGTTAATTATGTTATTTAGGTGAAGTACCTATTCTAACTATGATCCTAACATATGTGAGTTCTGCGATGCCTAACGCATGCAAATTGCAAGGTCATTCGTCGGGAATCGCGGATCTTGGTTCGGAAGAAATAGGTAGATAGTGTAAACAACAAGTAAACCTGAAATACGATTCCTAACAGAAATGTGATCTATTCTACTTACTTGAAAAATCTTCTTAGTATACAAAGTTTTAATTTCAATATTTTGTGTTATTATAACTTAAAATATTTTAATTACAAAAGACAAGTATAGGTACTCGTATGTAAGTAAATACTTTGATAGTGAAGTAAATTTTAACTAATTTTTGTAATAAAGTACTTAGGTATTTCTTCTGTAGACCAAATTATTACTTAATTCTTTTTTGCTGTAAGTACCTATCTAACAAAAACAATTAAATAAATTCACCTTTCATAATTTCCTTCTAAAATTCTTCGGTAACTTAAAGAATGATATGAAACCTTTTGTTGGTCATTTCATTTAGTATACACCCACGCAACAGTTATAGTAGGAACGACGTTTTGCCTTTATAATTTATCAAATAGGTAATATACATATAATTTATAAAATACATTAAAACTTTTACAACTATATTTACCTACAATTAAATATACTAAACACTAAAGAAAAACTATTTCAACAAGTATTTACATAGCACTATTTACGTAAACAGCGTTTAAAAACTTTAACATTGAATCGCCTACAACGCGCTAGCCCCGACTGCGTATAACGCCCAGGCCACCTCGCGATTTTAGGTAATTATTTCACGCAGGTAGCAAGAGTGACAGAGGCCTGGTAACGATGACCAGTCAAGGGAGGCAAGTCTGGAATCAGGATTATAGTGCACGAATGTGTGCACATTCACAGGTTCCATTTCTTTTCCATCACTCTCATTAGTCGGATGGGATGGATATCCGCCACGACCGGAGAGATCAGGCGCAAGGCTGTCACGTTTTACGCATGCCTTTCCAAGGCAAGGTGCTAAAATACCGCAAACTTTCTAAACCGAGCTACTAATGAGTGTTCCTACCTAATGACTAATTTTAACCCAACCCAGACTACTTAATCCCTACGGATTAAGTCGTGCGGGAGTACTCCCGCTTACCACTAGACCCCCGTTGGTCTAGTAGTCGTCAGCGACGCAACGAGTAGTTTACGGACTCGAACTCATACAGCACGGTTACTGTATACTTCGAAAGATATCGAACATTTTTGAAAGATTCCTGTAAATAGGTTAAAATACTTCGAAATAATATTCATTTTTACTCTCCACTACCATAAAGCTTGTTATAAATACCAAAATTGACATTGGTAACAAAATGTTGTTTTTGGTATTTTTATTTACTTCAAGACCACCTTCAATACTGTATCATATCATACAATAATGTATGTGAAAATGCACATAAAATTTTAATTTCTATCCAACAAAAAATGTGATAAATTTTCAAAATTAATTCCGGCTCCTTTAATGTCGGCATTTTTAGAATTGGCCACTTGTAAACGATATAATAAAAAAACAAGTTAAATTTTCGAAAATGGAACTCTCTGCCAATAATTTTGTGTATGTATTTTATTAATTTGTCATTTGTTTACAAGTTGCCAGCAAATTGAAAATTGTCTGTGTCACGTCAGCATGAATTTAACGCGAGAAAATTATTGTATAATAATTTTTTATGACTTTCGATGTCATTTAAGTCAACAAGAAAGTTACGACAGTCTTCGATTGGCCTTTCACGATAAAGCCCCATCTGATTGGAAGCGCGGGAAGTTCTGAAGTAGGCGGGCGTCCTTTTTTGGCTAAACTTTTGAAAATTAAATTAAATTGATATTACAGGATCAGTTAAGTTGTAAAGTATATATATTAGTAGTTATTGTTGATTATTTATAGTTTTAGCTTGATTTCTTCATCTGGTAAGTCATTTTATTGTATTATATGTAAATAGGATTTTTCTCTTGGCGTCCATGTTGGAGCCCGAAGACCCTGGAGGGACATCCCTCCAAGTGTCTCATGTAGTCACAATCGATGCATCGGGAATGGAAACGGAAGGTTCAATTATAGATACAGACTGTTCGGAAAACACGAAATCGGTGAAAAGAAAGAGAATTTCAGCTAGAAACCAAAAGAAGAGAAGGAATCACAGACAAACGGGTCTATTAGACTGCCAACTTTCCCCTAACGATTTAAAGGATAATGTTATTACTAAATTGCTTGATTCTGATGATAAAAACACTGAAATTCACCATAATGATGACACTCACTCTAACAATATTACAAGTAACCCCCCGCGCTGCTAGGTTGCTTTACCAGGCGTCAGATCCTGCGCCTTATGTTGTCCATGTCCAAAAATCTTACAAACAAATCAAACTGGATCTATTCACCCAGTACAATTTGGATTATTCCTTAAAAAAAATTTAATAAAAAGCATTGTAGAGGGAAGCATCAAAAAAATTGGAAGAAACAGATTGTATTTACAATTTGAAACATTTCAGGATGCTAACACATTTCTAAATCACAAATCTCTTGATGTTAATAAATACAAAGCATTTATTCCAGCCTTCACTATCACACGCATGGGAATAGTGAGAGGTGTTCCATGTGATTGGGATGAGAAAGATATAATGGAAAATATAGACCTTCCGCAGAACTGTGGAAGTATTTTGAAAGTTCGGAGATTAAACAGAAAGGTATATGACGGCGAAACGCCCAAGTTCATTCCAACTGAGACTGTAGTTTTAACCTTTGATGGGAAGGTGCTACCTCCCAGGGTCTTTATATGTTTCAACTCCCTATCTGTAGAGCTTTATATTTACCCCACGCTGCAATGCTTTAATTGCTGTCGTTTTGGTCACACCAAAATGCAATGCAGAGGCTCTCCAAGGTGTTACAAATGTGGAGACAACCATTCAGGTATAAGCTGCGAGACTGAAAGAGATGATGCTGTGTGTATCTTATGTTCTGGTTCCCATTTCGCCACAGACAAAAAGTGTCCGGAGTACGCTAGGCAAAAAGCTATAAAAGAAACAATGGCTAGAAACTCTATATCTTATTCAGAAGCCAGTAAAATCCACCCACCAGTTTCGAAATCTTATGCTGACGTTATTGCTTCTGCTTCATTGGCCCCTTCTGGTCGAACTATTACTTATTCCAGCCCCTATAATTCAACAAGCCCTTCTAAGAGTCACACACAGTCATATAGGAAAACAGTATTCTCGAAACCCAAAGCTCGTCCCAGAAATACTAGTAAGGGATATGATCAAAAAGCGCATGCAGAGCTTATCCAAGATTACAGCAACATTCCCTCCTCTTCTACAGGTTGTCTCAAAAATTACAAAGATCTATCAGAAATAATAACAAAGGATCTCATCATTTCTATAATTCAGTACCTTTCACAACATAACCTAATTAAAATACCGTCCAACGATGCTGCTTCTTCAAAAAGTTTTTTAACTCATGGACAGTCAGGACCATCCACGAAACCAGTCTCTGGTGATTCAATGGAATTGCCGGAGTATTAATAGCAAAAAAAAGTGACCTAATTTTCTTATTGAATAGTTACAAACCATTTGCAGTCTCTCTTCAAGAGACTTGGCTTCGTCCCGGATTCAACTTTAGAATTCCAGGACATATCTGTCTTAGAGAAGACAGAACAGATGGGTATGGAGGAGTTGCACTAATTCTGAAGGGCGGTGTGCCCTTTGTCCACATACCCATACCTAATCACAGTAATAAATTTTCAATTATTGCTGTTAGTGTAAATAATATTTGTTTTGTAAATGTGTATATACCTCACCCTTCCACTGAAGTCTTTGACGATATTCATAGCATTCTATCTTCCCTCCCACACCCTATATTGGTCATGGGAGACTTCAATGCACAACATTCTATGTGGGGAAGTTCTAAGTCTGACCATTATGGGGCTAGAATGTTAGACATCTTAGATGATAATAATTTATGCCTTCTAAACTATGGTTGTCCTACTAGAAGGACTCGGCCCCATGAGGGTATTAGTGCACCAGACCTTACCCTGTGTAGTCCCTCCCTAGCTCCTACATTAAACTGGTGGCCTCTATCGTCGTCATATGGAAGTGATCACTTTCCGTTAATTATATCATTTCCTCAAAAAATTGGCGAAAAGATGTATAAGGCTCCTCCCCGGCTAAAATATAAACTTAACGATGCCAACTGGTCATTATATAGAGATAAAGTTCAACAAAATTTATCAACTATACCTCCACTAAATGACAACAATAATCATCTTTGTGCTGAAGCTTTTACACGGGCCCTACTACAGGCTGCTGAGGAAGTTTTTCCTATTAAAAATAATAGTGGCAATGGGTATATTCCATCACCTCCATGGTGGGACAGTGAGTGTTCTGCTGCGATAGCTGAGAGAAAGATAGCTGAAAAAAATTACAGAAAAAATTCTACAACACAAAATTTTAATATTCTTTGTAACCTTATAACTAAAACACGTAAATTATTAAAACAAAAAAAGATTTAATGGCTGGAAATCTTTTTGTGCCTCAATTTCACAACACATTTCTCCATCTGAAGTCTGGCAATATATTCGTAGATTCAGATCCGCTTTTAAGCCTCCAAGGTTTCCTTTTATGGATAGCAGTACAGTTGATTTGTTTCTTGACAAATTAGCCCCACCGTTTGTCCCATCTATAGATAATATTTCTTCTGACCTACAGTCTTCTCTCCTCTCCCAGCATGATAGTAGCGATTCATTCATTTTCTTTAGCCTTTCAGAACTCAAAGGTGTTCTTTCAAAACTTAGGGACTCAGCCCCAGGTTGTGATGGAATCCCATATTCTTTTCTTCAAAACCTGAACGACTCCTGCCTTTCTTATTTTCTTAGTTTAATTAATTCAATTTTAATAACAGGTAATATTCCTCCATCATGGAAAATTCATGAAATTATCCCAATACATAAGCCAGACAAACCGATTAATGATCCATCATCTTACAGACCAATTGCATTAGCTTCAGTTATTTCCAAAATTTCTGAACATTTAGTTAAAAATAGGTTAGAATGGTTTATTGAGAGTAAGGGGTTACTATCTCCAAACCAGTTTGGATTTAGGAAAGGTAGGAGTACAATGGATAGTCTCAGCATTTTTATGACAGACTTAAGATTGGCATTTTCGCACAATAACTCTGTGTTAGCAGCATTTTTAGATGTATCTGCAGCCTATGATAATGTCAACCTTTCAATTCTGAAACAAAAAATGATTAATTTGGATATCCCACAAATTTTTATAAGATTTACAATCAACCTTCTCTCTGGTAGAATGCTTAAAGTAATATCAGAAGACTCTTACCAATCCCGTATTGCCTGGAAAGGTATACCCCAGGGCTCAGTTTTAAGTCCCTTAATTTACAATATATATTCTCATGATCTGGAAGCCTCCCTTAAGGGTAAAGTTAGCACTCTCCAATATGCAGATGATTTACTCCTCTATGTCTCTGGTGATTCTGTTCACAACATGTCTGATACTATGACATATTCCCTTAAGTTACTAAAAGTTTGGCTTGACAATAACTGTCTCAGCCTTTCAGTTTCTAAAAGTAGTATAGTCTTATTTTCTCGTATGAGGGTTCCACCTCCAGTGTCTGTACTTTATAATAACATTAGAGTTCCCGTTAAAAGCGAAGCAACATTTCTTGGAGTAATTTTAGACTCGAGACTTACAGGCATCCCTCATTGCTACTATATAAGTGCCAAATGTGAGAAGATTCTAAATATACTGCGCTGCCTCTCTGGAGTTTGGTGGGGAGCCCACCCTTTCTCTCTAAAGCTTCTATATAATGCCCTTATAAGGAGTATTTTAGACTATGGAACATTTATTCTTGAACCCTGTAATGCAGTAGCTCTCCATAAATTAGACATTATCCAGTCTAAGGCTCTGAGAATAATTGCTGGGGCTATGCGTTCGAGCCCTATTAACGCTTTGCAGGTTGAATGTTCTGAAGCGCCCCTGCATCTCAGACGACAATTTCTTTGTGACAGGTTCCTGTTTAGAGCATTCCAAGTCTATAATAATCCTCTTTACTCTAAGTTACGGTCTCTGTTGGAATGTATGGATTATCCGTACTGGGCTCATAAATCGTCGCCATGCCTTGTTGTTAGTCTCCAAAAATTCTTAGCTCTTCAAGCTCCAACACATAGATCACAATTCCTTCCTATATTTTGTGTTAACTATGATGCCTTAATTTTAAAACCATCTATTTTGTTTGATTTCGGTGTATGTAAACAAGATACTTCTGCCAACGTCAAATTTATTAATATAGTTGACAGTGACAGCCGATGGAAACATTGCCATTTAATTTTTAGTGATTCTTCCAAACCCGGTTCCGAGAAGTGTGTGGGAGTTGGTGTTTTCCATCAACAGTTTGGCATTGTACAGAAAATAAAATTGCCTCCAGAGACTTCAGTATTTACTGGAGAATGTTTTGGTCTGTTGAAGTCTCTGGAGTACATTTTAATCATGAAGTTAAAAAACTCAATAATTTTTACCGATTCTAAAAGTGCCTTACAAGCCTTGGAAAGATTTCCTTTTAGCAATAACAGAAACAATCATCCAGTTATTATTGCATGTCGTGATTTATTGTATCAATGTTACATCAAAAATTACACAGTTTCCTTTGCTTGGATTCCGGGGCATTCAGGTATCTTTGGCAATACCAAGGCCGATAGCCTTGCCAAAGCTGCAGTCAATGACGGAGATCTAGTTCCGTACAAAAACTTTTGTTGTGATTTGGCTCTCCTTCCTAAATCCCAGTTATTGAATTCTTGGACACATATTTGGCGTTCTTCAAGTCAGACTATAGGTCGATATTATAGCACGATCCAGGTGGATATACCTCATAAACCGTGGTTTTCAAATCTGACGTTTGGTAAAGCTATCACTTCGACCCTTATTCGTATGAGGCTGGGCCATGCATGCATTCCCTTGCATTTGGCACGACTTAAACTTTTGCCTAGCGATATATGTGAGTGTGGCAATGACGTTGGGGATTTTAACCATATATTTTTTGCTTGTCCTCGACTTGACCGTTCCGCTTTTATTTCCTCGCTTTTGTCCATTAAAATTCCTTTTCCTACTTCAATTTCTGTCCTTTTATCTTATGTAAATATTGATGTATATAGAATTTTAGCCAGTTTCATTTTTCATAACAATATAAAATTATAATCATTTATGTACTTATATACTAAATTTACCTGATCCTTTTTCAAATTCCGTTCCAACTTCCAATTCAATAAAATAAATCTTACTTCCTAACCTTCTTGCATGGCTGACGCACAAACCGTGCAGGCCAAGAAAGGGAAAAAAAAAAAAGCCCCATCTCGTGCCACTGTACACAACTGGTTTAATGAGTTTAAACGTGGTGGCACTAATCTCACCGATGATCTGCGTGAGGGACGGCCTTCAACAGCGACGACTGAAGATAACATCAGTGCTGTGCGGCGTATGATAGAGACTGACAAAAGAGGGACTTATCAGCAGATTCGGTCAAGCTTAGGCATCAATATGAGTGCACAAAATCCTCCATGAACATTTAGTGGTCAGGAAGCCTTGCGCCCGGTGGATACGTCATAATTTGACAGAGGCCTAAAAACTCCTTCGTGTTGATTGGTGTCGTGAAATGGTTCAAAGATTTAACGGAGGTGACTCAAATGCTGTATTCAACATACTTACGAGTGACGAAAGCTGCATTTATTGTTATGATCCTGAAACTAAGAGACAGTCTGCTGTCTGGGTGTTTCCTTCCGAGGAGTTGCCAACTAAAGTGAAGAGAGGTCGAAAGCGTGGGAAAAAAGATGGTGGCCTCGTTCTTCGGAAAGACAGGTTATTACGCAATAACTATTTTAGAGGATCGGAAAAAGTTACTGCAGAGTGGTACACTAACAATTGTTTGCCACTTGTCTTTGAAAAAGTGCGGGAGAAACGACCTATTTATTATTTATTTATTTAACCTTGCAGTAGGATCCTCCTTCACCACCAAAACGCCTCTTAGCACACTACCAAGCAAACAATCGACTACTTGGCGACGTCAGACGTGGAATTACTGCGATTTTTATTTATTTCCAAAAATTGGAGGAAAACGTTTTATGGACGCCAAAGCAGCAGTGGCTGTGTTTCAAAATGCCATCAAAGAGACCCCTAAGGACAAGTGGGCAAAGTGCTTTTCACAGTGGTTCCATCGGTTGCAGTGATGTATTGATGTAAATGGACCCTATTTTGAAAAGATATAATAAAACTTATAACTTGCTAGTTTGTTCAGTTTTTGATTTTATAAGAACTTTCAGTGTCCGACTTGATTTGATTTTCGCCATTTTGACGCTGACAGTAGAAGTGAGCGTCCACGGAAGTAATTATAGATATAGGACAGTGTGACAAAATATATCGATAAAAATTCTATATCCAGGCCTACCATTCTATTTATGATATAATCAATTGATTGATACATTTATTTATGGTATGGTATTATATTAAAATAATACATAAATAGAATGGTAGGCCTGGATATAGAATTTTTATCAATAGATTTTGTCACACTGTCCTATATTATTACTTCCGTGGACGCTCACTTCTGCTGTCAATGTCAAAATGGCGAAAATCTAATCGCCTCATTACGTCACCGTGTATAGTCAGTCCAGCATACTTGTATATTAGAGCTCAGTGCATGTTACACAATCCCCGAGACTATCCTCATCATACATCACAACACATCAAAATACACTGCTGAACATAGGGGCGATATTTGCAATAGTTTCCACGCTTGGCCGGTGCAACAAGGGCAGTTTTTTTATAATTTTGTTTGCTATCGGGAAGATGCTGCTACCCATATTCTGTTACATTTCCCTCCGTCATCTCTTACGACACCCACAGAATAGGGAAAGTTGATTATTTTATGCCGTCACTACACAGAGTACGGACGTTTACGTAGACTGTCCTCAGTAAACGTTTATTTTTCAACCTCACTATGAATTAATGAAACAATAGTCAAATTTAAATAAAGCATCAAACATACCTGTATAGTGTTTTCTCTTGCTTGATAATTATTTGTCATTACTTGTTGCATATTTTCGTCGTTCCTCATTGGACCTGAAAATTAATAAAAATATACATATTATGATAACTCTTTTGTCTATAACTTAATGTTCCTATACTTTAATGTTCACAAAACTTGAGTAGACTATTATAAATGTCAGTCTATTGAAAGTTGTAAAAGTTGACGTCTAACTTTTACAACTTGTAATACATTGATGCAGAAAATGAATCAAAAACAATAATTATCCCTAGTTACAACAATTAAATTAGTTATATAACGGATTTATCACAAATTTTTTAAAGTTTTAAACCAATTGGCCGCTGCTGATCATGAAAAAGCTAACGCTTTCTTTGAAATATATATTTTTAGTCTTCTAAAAATTTTTACAGTTTTGTAATAAGCCGAGCTATGTTGTTGACTTACAGATAATGTCTTATTGGCGAAAATAGCAGAACATGCTATCTTTAAATTATTTTTCTTATAAATCTCAGCAAATTTTTACAGTATGCGAACAACCTGGGTGCGATCCCTGCTAGCACCTATGAAATTGTCAACAGGTACTTTACGTGCTGATTCACCACGTGCTCGACGGTGCATGAAAACGCCGTGAGATACCGTACCGTAGTATGCCACTTACATGCAGTGGAGCAGCATGATAGACAAATTGTTGCAAAAGCTCTCTCATAAATGAGAGGAGGTCTGAGTCTAATAGTAGGACGCATATAGGCTTTATATAATATACCAAAAATTATTAGATTATAGGTGAGGGTCAGAAGAGGCACCAAAAACATCTTGTAGCCAATATATATATGGCGTTATAGCCCAGACCGGCGACACGACGGCTGAAGGATAACCAAACAAATACCAAACGTGCGAATCATCTCGTATTGAGATCGTGTATTTGTCTGTCGCCTGACAAGACAAATCCTGCCTACGGCGTAAGAAGCCATTGTCCAGTAGTGGATTTTTAAGGTTAGGCTGGACAAAAGATCGTATTTTATATACATTTTAACTTGTAAAAGCATACATATAGACCCAAGAATTAATTACTGACTCGGTGGAGTCGAGTAACTGGTCCTATTAGCTTGTCGCTGTTTCTAGTATTTACAGAATGAATATCACTTATTTTTGCAAAACTATGTTTATTCTTGTGTATGTACATTACATTTTAGTAAATGTATTGAGAGGCCAGAGTTGATACAATAATTTCCTTAAATTTTTGTCTCAGTGACTCTTTTGGTTTTAAATTATATATTGCTCTAATTTTTTTATAGGATAGGGTGACAAACGAGCACACAGTCCACCTGATGGTAAGTGGTTGCTGCGGCCCATATACCTCTACATGTATCCTCAATTACAAAACAAAATGCAAATGCGTTGTCACCCGTGAGGACTAAGATGGAATGCCTCATTTCTAGTAAAAAGGGTCTCCAGTTCTCTACACTCACCATACGAAATACAGCAGCATTAAGCTACTATTTCACGCTGATATTCTATGAGAGCGTGGTCCTTTCCCGGTCGAGCCGATCCATTCGTCCTACAACTATACTACTAATATAACTGCAGCATGTAATGGCCCTCTTCTGTAAAATAAATATAATTTCAGGGTCAGTCGCGTGTCCCCATAGCAAAATACCATACGACATAATGCTATGGAAATAACTAAAGTAAAGTAAGGGCTAATATATAACAATATTGGCATGTTGTGTTGTGTGCGTGTGTCAGTGTACCGGCGGCGCGGCGCATGTCGTGCGGCGGTGCGCGCTGCGGCGGCGGCACGTGCAGCCCCACGCCCGCCTCGCTCACGCGCAGGCGCCGCTGCCGCTCGCAGTACGCGCTCCACGTCACCTCGTTGAACCCGTAGTTGAAGTAGTCTGCATGGCACAGGCACATCCTTCTTTTATTTACTTATTTATGCTTTATTTGCAGACCAAGTACGAAAAGGCGGACTAAATGCAACAGGGCATTCTCTACCAGTCTACCCTCCAGGCTAAGCGGAGAGAATATTGTAGGTGTGAAGTGCAGTGGAGATTGCAACTATCAAAACTGTGAAGCAGTAGTAGTGAATAGTATTGGATACAATAAAAATAATAGTGTTGGATATATATATATATATATATATATATATATATATATATATATATATAAGAGATGAAACGGATAACAGTTTGGCCGGATACCGGATATTCGGCCGACCAAGTGGCCGGATAGCCGAATATCCGGCGAAACTTAGCCGTTTGCGTAGGCGTCGCGCGAACGATCGGATGGACTCGGTTCGATTCGGGTCTTTTCGTTGATGAGTGAAGTTAACAATTGTACAATTTTATTATTGTGTCGATTGCATGCAGTGCAGACACGTGCGTGATCGTTTTTAGGTTATAATTTTATTTGTGCTCTTATTATTTTAAGTACATACATACATAAGTCTAAAAGATTTAGCAACGAGAAATGGCATCGGTGAAGAAAAGATCGCCTTTATGGGAATACTTTGACATAAGCAGTGAAAATAAAAAGTTAGCTCTTTGTTTATTATGCAATGTTAATATTTCTCGTGGCGGCGAAGGGAAAAAAGCAGGTTTGTATCTAATAATAAATAATCTAATTGCAATCATTTTAATACCTATCAAGTAAAATAATATCTTGCAAGTTTCGTAACATATTCAATAATTATTGATTTCGGGGTATTTCGTTTTTTAGGTATTTTTCGATAGGCATTATTTAAACGACTGGTAGTGGTAGCTATGAAGCTGTGTTTTTTTTTATTGTAATTTATTGATTATCTACCTACGAGTATCTAGTTGTTAGGCACATATTATTTTAAGTAAATATAATGTTTAATGTTATTTATAGAAAGTAGTATTTCTATTTTTATGGTATACCTACTTATTTTACCTTTATTTATTTATACCTAATTAAGTCATTTTTTTCTAGGTACTTCTGCTATGAAAAATCATTTAAAATCAAAACATCCAGATGAATTTAGTGCTTTAAATAAAGACAAGAACGCTGTTGAGCCTACTACAGTTTCTATAGCCATTGCGGGGACAAGTTCATCTTCAGTAGCAAAAAAGCAATTGACTATGACAGAATCTTACGAAAGGAAATTGCTCTGGGATATAAATGATACTAAAGCGAGAAAGTACCATTATTTAGTAGCTGAAATGATTGCACTCGACAACGAGCCATTGTCCATAGTGGAAAGAACCGGTTTTACCAGGCTCTTAGAACAAGCTTTACCCCGCTATAAACTGCCAAGCCGGACTTATATTACCCAAAAAATCCTGATATGTATGACAGAATTTACGAGAAAATCAAACGTAACATTTCGAGTGCCTTCGCTATTTCAGTGACATCTGACATATGGACTTGCTTACACAATAATGCTAGCTTTCTGAGTTTTATAGCTCATTGGATATCATCGGAATTTCAACTAGAACACGGAGTTCTGGCAATGAAGCCTTTCTCAGGTTCACACACAGGAGAAAATATAGCAATGGAACTCAACAATGTCGCAAACCGCTGGGATATTGAGCACACTAAAATACATTTGTTCATTCATGATAGTGGTGCTAATATGGTGAAGGGTGTTCGTTTGGCTAAATACGATTCTGCTAGATGTTTTATACATACGCTTCAAAGAGCCATAAACGAGTCGCTCAAAGTCCAGACTGAAGTAACAGCAACAATTGCTGCTGGAAGGCGACTTGTGACGCACCTCAATCACTCAGGTCTAGCTCAAGAAAAACTGCTGAGGATCCAGAAAGAGCTAAGTTTACCCGAGCATCAGTTAATGCAAGATATTAGCACTAGGTGGAATTCCACTTTTTACATGATTGAGCGTTTGTTAGAACAGAAGCGGGCCATATCATTGTATGTTGCTGATCACGATACGCTCATAAATTTGACAGCTCAACAGTGGAGTTTGATGGAGCAGTGTATCAATTTATTAAAGCCCTTCGAAGAAATTACTAAAATAACAAGTTCTGGACTATCATGCGTGTCGGAAGTTATTGCACACGTTACTGCTTTAAAAAAATACTTAGATAAAACTGAAAGTGAGCAAAGAACTCCTGATTTATCACATATGCGAGCCTCGTTAAAAGCTGAGTTAGAAACTCGTTTTAACTCCATAAGTCGAGACTCAAACTACTTGATTGCAACTTATCTAGACCCTAGATTCAAAACAAACTACTTGGGGGTGATTGAAGCTGCAAAAGCACGCCAGGAGATCTTATTGGAATATTTGAAAATGTCTTGTGAAGAGTCTTCAAGTAGCAGTTCATCTTCAACACCGGCTAAAAAGAGTAGAGGAGAGGAGACAGAGCCAGCTGTATCTTGCAAAGCTCATGACACATTTTGGGACTGCTTTGATGAAGTAGCAAATGAAAACAACACTGACCAAGTGCAACGTGAAGAAACCTGTGAGCTGGATTTTTATCTCAAGTCAGTGCGAATTGATCGCACTTGCGACCCTTATTCTTGGTGGGCAGCTAATGCCAAACAATACCCAAATTTAACAAAGTTTGTCAAAATCTACCTTTCTGCTCCTTGCAGCATATAGCGAAAGACGTGTGTGTATAGCGAAAGACTTTTTCTGAAGCTGGGCTTATTTATGAAGAGAAACGCAACCGCCTGTTACCTCTTAATGCAGAGAAATTACTATTTATTCACCATAATTTGCCCTTAGTGCAGTATGAGTACTAAATGTACCTACTAATTCATTCATTTTCCTTGTATTACATTAACTTACTATTGTGTAATTAAAAATTTAATACTTGAACTAATTATATTTAAGTAATGTGATTCTTACTAAATAAGGTAAATAATTACTCAAAAATATGTTTTCTTTTATCCAGCTTTTTTTTTAATCCGTCTATCCGCCGAATACCGGATAGTTACCGGATATCCGTTTCATTTCTAATATATATATATAAATATATTTACTTAATACCACCCATATATACTGGATGATTTTTTTACCGTTTGGAATAAATAGGATGAAACAGGTAAACGGAATAGATGCCTATGGCATTGATATTCCCAACTCCAACCAGAAAGGGAAGAACAACATCTACCGGGCCAGCTAGTATGATAATAATTATGTACCCTTTTTTAGTTATTGTTTAAAAAAATACTTATAGAATTTTAGCACACACATGTTACTTGTACTTAATATTCGTAATATTTTAGTCTTTTTATTATTTCTGATATCTTTGAACGATTGCTTGAAACAATTTGAATTTAATGTATTCTTCTATGATGTTTCTATGATGTGTTTCTCCTACAAGTTAAAGCAGATAAAACATTGATGAAGGTTGTATAAAATCATAAACAAAGAAAAGATTGGTAAGGATGTATCACAAAAAATGTTGACAGCTTGTTAGCACATTGGTAAAAATCAGAATTTGGTGATGATTCCACCGGTTCCAATCTCATAAGAACAAGTATTAGTATTCTTAAATGTTAGTGTAAAAGCATCCACAACACAGGAGAAAATCCTAGATGTAATGTTTCTTTTTTAAAGGAAAATTTTTTCTTCAGTAAGCATAATGTTCCTATCATCACATTAAAGCAATTGATACACTTTTTAATAAAAGGATTTTTAAAAATGATATGACAGCAAGTAAATTTATAAATATATGGATAGACTGAGAATTAATCTAGACCCTACATAAGGAAGTAACATTGATAGAAGGAAAAGGGTATAGAAAGTAAACTTTAACATGGAGTAGCAAACCCCAAATCTAACTAAATATGTTAGAAAAATATTTACCAGTTGTATACAACATGTAACAAAAACCCTGTGGTTCCCGTTAAGTGTGTTATCAGAATCAGTATCCAAGCGTATAGAAATATTTTTTTTTCAAAAAAAAAAACACATTTAAAAAAATTATTTTAATGAAAAAAAAATTTGCAAATTGTATGTGGTTTTATTTCCTCTAACTCACACGAGTATTGGTAATGCGGGGTCTTTGACTATCCTCTAATTCCTCAGCCAATGCAGAGATAATAAAACCACATACAATTTGAAAATTATTTTTTTTTAATTAAAATTAATTTTTTTAAATGTTTTTTTTTTTGAAAAAAATTGTTACTTTATGCTTGGATACTGACTCCGATAACACAGTTAACGGGAACCACAGGGTTTTTGTTACATGTTGTATATGGTATATGTCAAACATTAACAATATATAAAATAGAATAAAAGGTATTTTTATTATTATTTAGTATATTGTCATTTGTTTTAACTTACCAGATATATCTGCTCCAGGCTTATTCCAAGGCTTGTCTTCAATAGTATCAATGTTAAATTCTAAAGCTGGCACCCCATTTATACTGCCTGGTCCTTCTAAGTCCTCTAAGGTTACTTTACTGCCCGTTGTTGTGCCTCCACGTGGCTTTTCAGTAGCTCCTGAAGCCACTAGACCAACTCCACGCTTTAAAATAATATACAATTATATTGTTTATCTTGAAACATGGAAGCTCGGGAACTTTATAAATTTCACAGTATATGTCAACTTGGGTTTGATCCACACCAGTACAAACTAGTTGTTAATTACCAATTTTAAGTGCTCACTCACTTAACTTAGCAGTAGTATTTTTGGTGAAGGAAAACTTAGTATGAAAACCTGTATGTTTGATGATATATTTAAAAAAAAAACGTAAATTAACGTAAAAAAATAATTCAAAGCCTTCTCCAAAATGAGAATAGACCTGTGCCCAGTTGTGTTATTCAGCAAAGTAGGTACTTTTGAGATTCAAATATATTAATAAAAAATTATTTACACTTAATCTAAAATCATAGCATACTTACTTTTATATTTAAACTAGCATACTGTGGGCCTGATTTTATTTCACCAATAGTCACTTTTACATCATCACTGTCATCAGAATCTGAGTCTGCATTTTCTTGACTGTCTGCATCACCATTGGCCTGATCCCGGTCAACTTCGGCAAAGTGCTCATCATTGAATTGGGGGTCTTCATCATTTCCATCATTGTCATCTTGTTCCTTCTCCTCTCCATCCTAAATATAAAATATATGTATATACACTCACCGGCACGGAAACTTGGCCAAGCGGTTATCTCGCGATAGCAAAAGCTTTAAGTGTTTCTGATGAATGTTTGTTATGCAAGTATGTCAAAAAATGTTTACCCTCAAGTTCAAGAGGGTAATTCATTATGTTTAAGTGCACCATGACGAATTCTTTAATTTTTAGTTGAATCGGGTCATTTGAGCGACTAAGTTCACATTTAAAATTTGTGTGTTGTGAAAAGTTTACTGTAAGGTTATTCAATTATTGTGATCTTGTGTCTTAATTAAATAACTAAAGGTGCTTTAAAGCCAATAAAAATGCCATTAACACCAGCACAAGTTGCACAAGCAGTAGCATTAATTGACCAAGGGCTGACACAGCGTGAAGTTGCTATTGTGCTTAACGTACCACGGTCCTCAATGCAGTATTCACTGAAACGATACCAGGAGACAGGCCGCTACACCCGCAGGCCAGGCAGTGGGGGCGTAAGGTGCACATCGGCCCGGGACGATCGTTTTATTGTTATGGAGATTTTGAGAAACCGCTACCTGACCGCTGTTGAGATACGCCAGCGGCTCCAAATCGCAAGAGGCGTTAATGTTAGTGAGCGTACGGTGAGAAGACGAATGGAGGAAGTGAATTTAAAAGCTCGTAGACCAGCACGAGGTCCAGAACTTCTCAGACAGCACCGAGTAGCCCGACTTCAGTTCGCAAGAGAACATGTCAATTGGACCCACGAGCAATGGGCTAGTGTTGTTCACAGATGAGTGTCGAATAGCTTTACGTGCTCCAGACGGTCGAGAACGAGTGTGGAGAAAAAGAGGAGAGAGGTTTCTACCCATTACCACCACCCAAACTGTGAGTTTCCATGGAGGCTCAATAATGGTATGGGGAGGTGTAAGTTCCGACGCACGTACAGAGTTGGTCATCGTCGATAATCGGCGTACAGCTACTCGATACATCGAGGAAGTTCTTCAGGAGCACGTAATGCCTTATTCGGGATTCATTGGACACGACCAATTCCTCCTCATGCACGATAATGCACGCCCGCACGTCGCACATTGTGTAGAGGAATATCTGGAAGAGGTTGGAATACAAAAATTACAGTGGCCAGCTCGTAGCCCGGACTTAAATCCAATTGAGCATGTATGGGGTATGCTCAAAAGAAAGATAAAGTCCAGCTCCAAACCGCCACAAACTCTAAATGAGCTCCGAAATGCAGCGCTGGCCGCTTGGGACAGCATACCGCAAGTTGATGTCAGAAACATCATTCAAAGCATGCCAGATCGAATGCAAGCGGTTATCAGGGCTAGAGGAGGTAACACCCGATATTAAAACTGATAGACAATAAAGAAACAGACTTAATTTTTAACTTTGTAGTGTTTTTAAAGTGACAACGGAAAGATGTTAATTTTAGTGAAAACATGTTATCTTGAAAAGAAAAATTTCGGTGAAGTAAACATTAAATTTCTATGTTCTAAAACCATTAGAGACACTTATTGAATGCATCTACCCTTAATTTACTGTTAAAAAAACGTTTCAGTGCAAATAATCAGCAAATTCACGAGTGGCCAAGTTTCCGTGCCGGTGAGTGTAGATTAGGCATTAAACCGTATCAGCTAGTGTATATATATATACACTAGCTTGCCAGGCAGATGTTGTTCTGCCCTTTTCGACGACCCTTTGTCATGACCTATTAAGAATCCTTAAATTCGCAAAGAAAAAAATTGTGGGTCACTCATGGGCAAATAACTATCCTATCTTTTAAGTTCGACTAAACTACTGCACACGGTGTGATTGACAAATTTGATTAAAATCAGTTAAGTAGTTTAGGAGACCATCACAGACAAACAATGTGACACGTAATTTATATATATTAGGTAAGTATATATTAAGTTTATATAAATTAAATGAAACGTTAACCCAAAACAGCCCATGAACTAACCGATTACTTTTGTTGATATTTGTTGTTTCTCGTTCTTGCGACAGTATCCTAAATACATATAGAAAGAGGTGAAGCGAATATGGATTTCGTGGCAATGTTTTGGTAGTTTTCACACAGGATGCAAAATGGACATAGTAGATATAATTACCTAATGCAATAAGGTCAAATTTTAAATGGTTAACATTGCCTAACTTTTAAGTTTGTATAATTGTGAGAGATCTTTAAATGATCTTTAGGACAATAGTCGCAAGACTTGCATTTGTATGATCATATTATATTTGTTTTAGGCAACTTTATGTTAATGTTTTTTATGTTTGGGATAGAAAGTTAGAATTTGATGCATATCTTTAGAATTATGAACTTTTGATGTTATGTTCGTGCACTTATTTGCAATATTAGTGTGCATTTTGTACATTAGTTTTAATTATGTATGTGTAAAGTGAAAATATAGTATTGTGTAGTTTAACTTAGATTTTATAATATATATGTGTATATATATAATATATTGTACCTTGTAGTGACGGTGTAAGAATATCCACTACACTATATCATCCCGTGGTTGTCGTAAAAGGTGACAGAATGAAACAAATCAGGAGATAGACAGCAACATCTTCCTAATAAAGACTAAAAACAGTGTGTGTTGTGAACACACACAACAGAAATGAAGCTTTTGTATTACAGGTAAACATTTTAATTATTCATCAGTTACTATTGAATTGCATAGATTGTGTATATCATTTATTTATTTACTTAACACTCCATCAGTCGCGCGTTCTACTATTGTAGAACAGGCATGCATTTCGTGGGATTTTAACATTAATTGTGGGTGTCTAACGCACACACTCATAGTATTCCTCTATTACCAGCTGGTGATCACAATTAGTACCCTTTCGGCAAACTGCGCGATCGCACTTGTTAGAAATTTCGCACCAAAACTAAAATTCTACAATAGTAGAGCGCGCGAGCACTTGCGTGTTCCTTCCTTCTTCTTCTTCTTTTAAAATTATGGCTTCACTTGATAGAATTCTGCCAGTGTCAAGTCAGTCATGGAAGTGACAAGGTAATAATAGTTAAAATAAAAGTTCTCAATTTAATGAGTGGGTCCACAATCTACAACAAAAGACGTCAGATATTTAAACTACCATCACCAAAGTTGTTAAGTAATTTTACAGTTTAATATTATTAGTACGAATAAAAGCACATAAAATACTTACGAAGGGAGTATACACTAGGCTTAGCAAAAATTGGAAATTTACTGAACAAGGAATGTAATTGGGCAGGATATCGTAGAGAGAGAAAGAAAGTTTAGGACACTCAAAGAACAGATGATTGACAGATCCTTCATCTAGGCCACATTCACAGATTGAGCTATCCCTAATCCTGAGTTTGGCCATGTGTACAGGAGTACAAGCATGACCAAAGCGTAGGCGGCAAACAGTAGAGGTGGTAGTTTTACTAAAGTGGCGATATTGAAAGATCCAGGGTTTTGATGGGATATTAATTTGGACTTTGGAATATTGATAACATTTTGAAGATTTAGACTGATGCCAATAACTTTGCCAAGAAGACAGAAGGCCGGAGTTGGCCTTTGGCAGGAGGTCATGTGCATAGAGGCATTGTCTAGGGATAGAGCCAGATTTTGTGGCATCTTTAGCTAAATTATCAACAATTTCATTTCCCTGAATCCCGCAGTGGCTAGGGATCCAAGCCAATACAATGTTCAGCCCTTTTTTTATGACAATAATACAGAGACTTTCTAATATTTAAAATTAGCGGGTATCTAATCTTAGAGTGAAAAGGACTGGATAAAATACTATGAAGGCAACTAAGGGAGTCTGAGAAAATGAGGGTCCTTTTCAGACTATGTTATTTTGCATATGAAACTGCCTCTAAAATAGCCAAAGCCTCACCTGTGAATACAGATGAGTAAGGGGGGAGAGTTAAAATTTAAAATAATCCTGTATTTAGGGATCCACACTGCAGACCCTACTAATCCATCGTTACTTAACTTTGAAGCATCAGTGTACATAGTTAACCAATCATGCCAATTTTGGAGGAGGAGCATATTTAATTTGTTATTTGCTTCAACAGTATTTTTATCTATTCCGATATCTAGAATAATGTCTGGATTGAAAATTAGAGCCTCGTAAGGGATATTGTAAAGTGGGTTACTAAGGGATTGATAAATTGGAGAGGGAATGTTGAGCAATTTAATAAAGCTTTTTATAATGCATGGCAAATCCTTGTGGGACCAATATGGGGAGTCCCTGACCAACCGATACAGGGAATGAAGTTTGGAAAGGAGAAGATGGAGAGAATAACATGCTACTTTAAACAAGAACCTATCTGAGAGATATTGCCTGCGTAGAGATAGAGGGGGCTCAACACATTCAACTTGAAGAGCGAGAATGGGAATGGACTTCATGCTACCAGTTATTATACGTAGACATTTTGACTGGATTTTGTCCAAGGTATTAAGAGCCATTTTGCTACAAGGCTCTAGTAAGAAGCACCCATAATCAAACTTCGGAAGTTTACCTATCGTTTTTTATTTTATGTAAGTGTTTATGTTAAGTATAAATATTGTAATTATGAATTTTTTTGTTTGATCATATTATTTTTAACCGAAGTAACTATATTTCGCACAATGATGGCACATATTTTGAGATGGTTGGAAAAAGTTATTACTGATGAAGCAACCAGCAAAGTATGGGATACATATATTTTTACTAACGGATACAAAGGTACCTTACGCCTACCATATGGAAATATACGCAGGTGCTCAGCCAGATGGTCCTTATGCACAATCAAATAAAGTTGTGGACATTGTGCAACGAATGCTTACCCCATTGGATGGTTTAGGTTATAACGTCACAATGTATAATTGATTCACGAATATACTTCAGCTGCTCTTAGGTAGCAAAATTACTGTCGTAGGCACTGTGAAGAAAAATAAGCCACAAATTCCCAAAGAATTCAAAATCACAAGAAACAGAAGCGAAACGAGTTCAATTTTTGGCTTTCAAAAACAAGGTACTTTAGTATCTTACATGCCAAAATCAAAGAAAGTGGTGCTTATTTACTCACCTATGCACTATGATGATCATATTGATTTATAAACAGCAGAGAAACGTAAGTCGGAAATAATAACTTTTTATAACAATACCAAATATGGCGTGGTCATTATTTGTAGTATTTATGACATCTCACTTACCATTTTTTTCAATTTAATGAATATAAGTGCTATAAATGGTTACATTGTACATACAATAAACAAGGACTACAGAAATAAGGCCAGGAAGGATTTTTTTATATGAACTGGTTTCACCTAGTCGCGCCATTCATACAATGCAGAATAAATATTGAAAGTATTCCAAAATCATTGAAAATGAAAGGGAAAATGCTTTTGAGCATGAAAGAGCCATCAGAATTACATCCATGCCCAGCACAACTCCTCAATACTGGTCGAGTCGGGAAACATTCCTTTTGTGGCAGAGCGCGCAATAAGTCCACCAGAAAACAATGTGACACCTGTAAATAGTGGATTCGTCCTCAACATCAAGTTCTTCAATGCCTCGACTCTTGTAAAAATGATAAAGACCTTGTGGAAGATATGAGCGAGTAAAAAAAGGAGACTGAGAAGGTTTGATGCCAAAAAATCATTGATTTTTCTCAAAATTCACAAGAAGTCTGATATTAAGTGCCTATTAAATGGTAACAGTTATGTTTCGTCTATTTTAGTTTCTTATTAAAGTTTGTTTTCATATGATATTGAAGTATTTTTATATTTGTTTATTGTTCCTGTAAAATCTTTACACAAAATAGTTCTACATATGTAGAGCGCGCAAGCACTCGCGTCGCGAACAGGGGCGCGCGTAATGGAGTGTTAAAATGATATACATATGTGCCACGGTGCATCATCTTCTTTGATCTTAAGAAGAGATATTATCGGTTTAGTTTGTTAATTAGGTAATTGTCTATTATTTATGTAATTTTATTTTAATTAATCCATGGTTTTATGTCAACAAAAATTTATTAAAATGAAAATTTAATAATTGATATTTTACAAAAACTAAATAATAAAATTTGACGGGTCAGTTTTGCAGCAACATAGCAATTGAATTACAACACTAAAATCGCGGGTTCGAATCCCGCACGGTACAAGTATTCGTATGTTCTACAAATAATTGTTCCAGGTCAAGATTTTTGTCCTTGTACGATTTATGTTTGCATATTTCGTTAATTTTGGAGACTAGGGGGGTAAGAAGCCGGGAAGTTGTGCTCCGGCGCTCCGTGGCAGCTCCGGCGCTGCGGGATGATCGCCGAAGCGGCTGAGGCTGGTCGCCGAAGGCGACCAAAAAGCCGAAGCTGCGAAGCCCAGGTGCCTGTGCTTCCCTACGGCGGGCGGGCACTGCTCATCCCGCAGCGCCGGAGCTGCCACGGTGTGCCGGAGCACAACTTCCCGGCTTCTTACCCCCTAGTCTCCAAAATTAACGAAATGTACTCGATACCAAGAAGTATTGATACGATACTTGGTATCGAGTAGGTATCGATACTTTCAAAATATTCGGAACCCTACACTAACTGACGTTTAACATCAATCATTTGTCAAATTTATTTTGTAATTGCGTGTTATTTACCAATTTGTATGAAAAGTTTAAAAAAATATATCTCATGAACCGTAAGTTTCCGCAACCTAAAACTTTGCAAAACGCTTTCTTGTGAGTAATATCTACAAAAAAAATATAGGCTTTGAAATCGATGGTCCATATTGGAAATATTAACACTTTATTTATTAGTTTTGTAAATAAAGTAGAGGGAAGCAGCAAAAACTGAGTTTGATTATTTAAAAAGGATAATTTACAATAAACTCTATCAATTATTTAAGAAAAGTTTAAAGTGATTTTCTCACTCCCAAGGGTTATGTATTCTCTACTATTATAATTACCCTTTTATACAGCCATTGCTTTTTGACTTAACTTGTTAATAGTAATGTAGGCATAATTACACATTTCTGGTATTTTGTTGGAAGAGCTTATTAAACATTTTCCCATGAACAAATCACTGAATCTGAGCATTACTAGTTTGTGTTTTTTTACAAGTACTTCAATATAAATATCTTTTTTAATATATTGTTACCACTTTAATAATTATCACAAAAAATTAGTATTATTTAAAACACCAAACATTAGAGGTTATATTTCAATCAAAAATCATACATACCCCAGCTTCTCCTGCTGTTTCTGACGGCCGCTGCTCTTTATCATTGACTTCCGAATTCTCGTTTTCACCTTGATCCGTAGTTGATTCTCCATATAACCAATTATCGTCGTTTTCATCAGTGGGCGCCGTTTCAATAGCTGTATCTGCCATTTTTGTTGATTTGAGTTTTGACCATAGATTACTGTATATATATACTAGAGATTAAAAAAAATAGAGTTTTGAGTTTGACTTTTTATTCAAGCACTCAACCGTAGAGTAGTGTAATATATGGTCTAAGAGCGTAGACAGAGAAACCTATAGACAAACTGACGCTTTCTTTCGCATTCGCACACGAATAAGATATATTTATGCATACGTCTTGCATAGAAATGAGATAGAGCGGTGTGATTGTTTGTCCCTTTCTCCGCGCCAGTTTTTAAGCTATTGTATAGCTTCTATCGCGGGCCTTGAGTGCGGGGATCGAATCCAGAAATTCCGTAACGAAAAAAAACCTCACGCTCCCCACTCCGACGGGCACGGAGGTATGGCGTTGAAAGCCGTGCATCGTCTAACGTCGTTTCAGTTCGGCTCGGCAGACTTCGGCACTCGGCAGACTTCGGCACGGTGTTTGTGTGCGTGCGACTCTAGCTGCTAACTCAATGATAAAAATTCCTGAATAACCTACATGTATTGTAAGATATTAAAAATATTTTAAACAATGTTAATTTCTCATTTATTCAATAAGAGAAAAAAAATTGTTTTCTTATCGGTCACCACGCTCAAAAGTGTAACTTGATTTAATATCAAAGACTTAACTGCATAAATAAAATAAATAAATAATTATAATTGCATAAGTTGATAAAAAATGCTATGCAATAGCTTTACCGCGGCAGTCACCGAGTGCCACACGTATTTTTTTCGTTTAGCAAACTCTACAGTTTGCTAAACAACTTTGACAGCATAGCGATTTAAGGAGTTTACACGTTGGTTTAAGTGAGAAAAAAGTGTTTTGTGAGCTTAAGATTGGTGAATCTTGTTCAGTTCAGTTCTTACAACAATTAAGTTTTTTATCTAAATGTGTTTAAAAGTCATAAAGGTTATTCTATAACCTAAAAATTCGTTATCATTCTTTCTCACTCGAGGCCACGCCGATCATTAGTCTATAGGTTTCTCTGTCTACATTTAAGAGTAATATATACAGAAATAGAGAGCCATCTTCTAGGATTTTTTGTCACACAATATAAATAGCATGGAGGTTAGAGAGAAGGAGAACGATCGCTACGCGCTAAAGCATTAGTCCGCCTGTCCCTGAAATTTTGTAGAATTTATAGTCACGCTGTCGTCGTAAGTAGTATCTGCGAAGTTAGTTGCTTATGAGTACAAGTAGATGAAGCTAGTTCAATAATGTACAAATTTTCTTCGTGGCATTGGTGAGAAATTTGTACTCTTATTAGTTTGTGGTGAGTAAATAATCGTGCTCCGTATTTTTATAATTTTTGACAAAAATGAACTTTAAAAGTTGTAAAATATTATAAAATAATAATAAATCAATAATAATTAATAATTTATATTTGTAATAATTTATAATAATTAAAGATATAAAAACATAACATATAATTCATTTCTTAATAAATAATAATAATAATTTCGTTTTTTTTTCTTTGAATGATATTTATCTTTATTATCCCTCCATGAATAACGACGCAAACAAACGGCCCCCAGTCCCCGGCGGCCCCGCTATTCCTGGCTACGGTGGCGACTATAGTAACGGCGGGGCAGGGGGTGTTAAGAATCTCCGGTGGAGGTTCGGTTGCCACCTACGACGACTCGACCTGGCAACATATAACGCACGCACCCTGACGACTGACGAGAAGATGCTGGAGCTGGAAGAAGAGGTAGACAAGTTGCCCTGGCATATTATTGGATTATCCGAGGTCTGAAAAGAGGGGGAGGACACGGTAATCCTCGAGTCCAGCAACTTCGTCGTACACAACGTTGTTGACGAGAGACTTGTGGACTATAAATCCACAGATCACAGATCAGACAGAGTGTGTCGACGAGGGTCGCGTACCTGATACTCAGAATCACCAAACAGTATTCGCTGAAGGTCATACAGGTTTACGTACTGTAGCGGCGCTGTCGTTGCGCCACAAGCGAAAACACACCGAAGCCTAAATCATGCTATCAACATTCCGAATCATAAACAGTATATATAGAACTTCTCCGAACTATCACTCGGAGTGTTGGCCGCTCCCCGGGCACAACACCTTGCCCGGCGGGAGATCTCCCTTTTCTTAATTCGGCCACAGTGGTGACCCCGACGTGATCTGAACACGCAACCGACAACCTTCGGAAACTTCAAGCTTCATCATCATCATAAAATACCCCGCCCATTCGCTCCCGAGCAGATATCGTCTGCAGTATTCATATCCTGCAAGCCATCTAGCTTCACAAGGTTCATCGCAGCACTGGAGTAATAATGCTTCCTGTTCCTTCAAGCTACTCTCTGCGCCGTACAGTGTTCGGCAAGGCTCTGAGCCTTACTGCTCGCCTCTGCTTCACGGCACTCTCGCAGATTACTTGCCTTCTTCTCGACTCACCGCAGACTACAAGGCAATCTCCTGGCACTTGCATGTTCGTCGACAACGAGACTCCACTATCGACCTCCGGTCTGAGCAGGGGGTGATGTAGCGGTGCTGTCGTCGCGCCACAAGCGAAAACTGAAGTCTAAATCACGCTATCAACATTCCGAATCATAAACAGTATATAAAGAATTTCTTCGAACTATCACACGGAGCGTTGGCCGCTCCCGGGCAGAACACCTTGTCCGGCGGGAGATCTCCCCTTTTCCTTCTACGGCCACACGCACCAACCTCGGCACATCCCGATGAGGAGGTGAAGGATATGTACGAAGATATTTCCAGAGCCATGTATTCCTCCGAAACTACTAACGAAACCACTACACGGTGTTGATGGGAGACTTCAACGCAAAACTAGGCACAAGAGAAAACGGTGAGCTGAAGTTAGGGAAATTTGGAGTAGGGTAACGGAACCGAAGGGGCCAGCAGCTGGCCGACTTTATGGAGAAAGAGGGACTCTTTATGATGAACTCTTTTTTCCAGAAGCGGCCCCACAGGAAGTGGACCTGTTTGAGCCCCGACGGTTCGACAAAAAATGAGATTGACTTCATTATGACGACCAGACGCCAACTGTTCAGTGATGTCTCAGTGATCACAAGGGTGAAAACTGGCAGCGATCATTGAATGGTTAAAGGCACACTGAACCTAAACGTTAAGTTGGAGAGGTCTCGTCTGATGAAGTCAACGTTCCCTCCCCCTCGTGCTCTAATCCAGAATCCCAAAACCTTTCAGCTCGAGTTACGTAACCGCTTTCAGTGCCTAGTAGATTGCAATGCAGTGGACGATATGAATGACAAACTCGTGGAAACTGTCCATGCGGTCGGAGCTAAGTTCTGCAAGACCTGCCGCAGAAGAACACAAAAACTCTCCGATCACACTCTTAATCTCATGGATGTTAGACGGGAGATGAGGCTGCTATCGTCAACAGATTTGACAGGCAACTGAACAGACAGATCTCCAAATGCATGCGGCGAGACTTACGTAACTTTAATACAGCTCGTATTAAAGAAGCGATCGAGCGGAACCAGGGCTCCAAAGTCTTTGCCAGAGATCTGTCTGCCAGAAAGAGCCAACTGTCAAAGCTAAAGAATGAATGTGGCAGCATCGTTTCCGGGACACCTGAGATTTTGAGTGAGATTGAGAGGTTCTATGGGCAGCTGTACACATCATCGTTGGAGCCACAAGTAAGTGTGAGTAACGATCCAAGAGCAAGTCTTATCCGACACTATTCTGATGATATCCCGGACGTCAGTCTAAGCGAGATTAGAATGGCTCTCCAGCACCTTAAAAACGGCAATGTACGTGTATATAATATAAATATTATATACACGTATATTAAACGTTGATAGATCATTTCAAACTAGCGCACAACAGCCTGCTTATATTGAGAAAATTTAGCGATCGCAGTGCCTAACTTATTATGTCCATTTTCTAGGACACCATTTTCTACAGCGATCGTTTTCCTTTTCTCTGACCTTCATGATAAATAGTTGCAGTCTGGTATCATATCCGTTGAACTAATCTCAATATTTTAAGGGATTAGGCTTCTATTAAATGTATTACAGATTTCAGTAATATAAACATTTATTTTTATTATATATATATATTTAACAAACATGATGTAAAAGCGTCTATTCCGCAAAATACAACAACAAACCAAATTAAATATTGGTACCGGGTTACCGGAATGATAAATGAAAGCGTCTATTTCGTATAACACGACACAAATATACAATAAGGTTCCAGCATGAAAATCTAAACAATAAGACTAATCTCAACTCAACCAAACTTATTGTAGCAACACCCGAAAATCACATACACGGCAAAAGCGTTAGTGAAAACAACGTCTTGCTCACACGCCGGTAGCTAATTGCTAAAGACATAATGGCTACTAGCCATTGTCATAAAGTTGCCACTTGCCAGTTCGAGAAACTTATTGGATTTCAGACCGACAAAAAAAATTATATATTTATTCAATAGGTATAATTTTGTACTAAACTCAAATGTTCTCGAACGAGGAGAACGATCGCTGTAGAAAATAGTGCCCCGAAAAATATGGACAAAGTTAGTGAGGCACTGCAATCGCTAAGTTCTCTGAATAAAGCGGTCTGTTGTGCGCTAGTTTGAGATGATTATAATATTTTTAAAATAAAAAAAATAAAATAAAGAAATTATTATTACTTATTAATAAATAAAATAAATTGCTTTTTTGTAATTTTAATTATTACAAATATTATAAATTATTACAAATATAAATTATTAATTATTATTGATTTATTATTATTTTTATATTATTTCACTATCTTTTAATGTTTCTTTTTGTCAATAATTAAAAAATTACTTCGCAGATACTAGTTACCGATGGCAGCGCAGCTATAAATTCTACATATTCCAGGGACAGGCAGCCTATGCTTTAGTACGAAGCGATCGTTCTCCTGTTCTCTGATTTCCATGGTATGGAGTGTAGAAGTAAGGAGTACCAACTTATTAACAACCATTTAACAGTGGTAGAGCCACGCGGCAGCTTTGCTG